TAAGAGCTCAGTATGGAACAGTATTCTCCATTAAAAATATATACGATATATGTGTGTTCGATATAAAATAAATAATAAACAATGGCATGTGGCATCAACAACTTGTTGTTGATGAATCCCTGCAGTTGCGAAAGTTATAAAATTTTGGCTAAACGATCAGCATTCTTGCGAGATTTCTGTGGCAAATACATATTTTATATTCAAAAGCGAAACACTATTTTTAGAAGACTCAAAATACACAGATTTTTTGGTTAAATTACAAAATAAAAAATAATCAAAAATTGGCAAGGAATTGTTGTTGATTTATGCATTTAACAATTAAATATTTAAAACAACACTCCCTATTTACTGAGCAGCTGCTGCAATCGAGCTATGAAAATATTGCGCATACGCAACGTTGACCCGAAAAGAAAAACTCACCTGCAGAGACAGAGTTTGCAAACGTTGCCGAGGCTGCGACTCTTGCTCTTCCGGCGATTGTGCTGGTAGAAGACCGTGGAGGAGCCATTCTCCGGATCCACGACGGTGCTGTGGGTGCCGCCATTGCCCAGATCACCGGCACCCGATGACGATGTTGCTGCACCAGTGCCATCATTGGCGCTGCCTCCGCTGCCACTCCCCCCACCGCCACCACCATCACTCGCTCCCGTTGTCGTCCCCACCCCCGCGACGCCCGCTGACGTGTGCGTTAATTGCGCCAGTTTCGAAACGCTGTTGTAGCTGTTGCTGTGCTTGGCGCGCTCGCGACTTCGTTCATTTCTATAACGTATCTGGCCGGCGGCAGACCCGACACTGTTCGAGCCAAAGAGATTGCCCAGAAAGTCGGCCCCGCTGTAGCCCGTCGAGTTTTTGCGTCTCCCGTTTCTGTCAGTGTTGTTGTTGTTGCCGCTGCCGGTGGGGACCTCTCTGCGTATGAGTAATTCCGTTTCAGAGTCGGTATCGCTCTCTTCGTCGAAATCTCGTAGCGGTACATTGTCGGCCATTTTAAGAGCGAAAGAGAGAGAGAGAGCGGCGTGAGCAGCTTAATCCTGAAGAGAGTAAGAGAGTTTGCACAGGTGTTTGGTTCTGGAGCTTGGCGCGACTGCCTCAATTTGTTAGGCTTTTCGGAACGTGAACTTGATAAACTAAGCACTCGATTATAAATGCAATAAACTATTTATATTTTAGTTGCACCACCTTAAACGCTGATTGTCTCGCAGTCTATAAATAAATGATTACGTTTTTCTTACAAAATACACACGTATTTACATAAATGCTGGTCTGTTTCAGCCTTTAGACGCCTTGCCACGCGGCGGAATCACAAAAAATGCACAAGTGTGGAAAGTTGGGGGAAGTCGGCAGCACCTTATCACACCTGCGCCTTTTGTTTGGGAGGTAAACATGTATAACCGTAAATCAGTTCGCCTGGGGCGCTCCCCGGAGCGGAATTCCAATTATGAGCACTGTTATCAGCGGGAACGGTTGCCGACCACTTCTATTCGTCACCATAAATTCAAACTACCCGAATGACTATTGCTCGCCGTTAAATTGACTCAAATAAAAATATAAATAAAAGGCCAAGGCCCGGGCCGCTGGCACACACACTCGTGCATTTGGAGGCACACGCATATAGACGGGAAATTTCTCTTCCGCTATTGGCTAGACATCCACTTTTCTTTATTTTCCAGCAGATTGAGTTTTATTTTTCACATTTCCAACTTTATTTCAAGTCCATTGGCTTGTTTTTATTTAAACTGCACTCGGTTTTGTGTTAAAACGTCCAAGTTGGCAGCGGATGATTTTGGCCAAACATTAAACCAGCTGTTTTTGCATTGGCGCCTTCAACACTAAAATAAACACGTTACTCAACCCTGAAGCGGGCTCTCTTTACACTGCAAGAAATTAATTAAAATTAATAAATGATTTGAAAGGAAAAGAATATTTTTTTATTTGAATTACTTCAAGTGTTAGGTTACCTTTTATTACATTCGTAGAACCAACAAACTATTAGCTGTTAATGACTGAATTACTTTAAGCAGCTGGTGTGTATAAAATATTAAATGTTTATTCGTAGCTTACATTAGCAAACAAACAATAAACGGGAATTTACACAGAGATCTTAAACAACTAAATATAACATGCAGGCTGTGGCCCGCGATCTGCTTCGCAAAGCAGTTGCACGGACACCTGCACTGCTGTTGACTTTGATAATTTAAATTTAAAAAATAAACAAACGGATTTCCACTAATACGTGCCCTAGGATTGGACTGCCAGACCAAAATCAATCAATGCCCAACAGGCATTTATCAACAACTATATGTGGCTGTTTCTGGAGTGATTCAGATGCTCAGCTGCGTTCCGTTTGCAGAGTTATGTTGGAGTCCGAGTTGGAGAAGCTGTGCTCCATCCGTTGCCGAAAGTCATCCTCGCCATCCGAGTAAGAGCCCACCGAACGGCAAATGCTGCAATTAATGGGAAATCAATAAATGATTTTTCCTCTAGAAATGAACTAGAAGTATCTAGAAGATTGCTCACCGCTGTGTTGACGCATAACCTTCGATGGCCAGAGCCTGACTCACACCCGGGGGCAGTAACTGCTGGAGTAGAGCATCCTTGGCCGCATTGGCGCTGGTCGGAAGTGGCACGTGGTTCATATCGACCGAGGAATGCGACTGGGATAGATGCGGCGCCGTCAGGCCGTTCGCCAGGCGAGCTGCATTTCCGGATCGCCTTCCATCCATCTCATCGTTTTCGTCTCGCTGCGTGCGTTCGATGTACCGAAGGGTGTTGAAGAGCTCTAGTAGATTCCCAAAGGTGTTGCGCAGGTCGCACTGGCCAGTAATATCGAAACACAACTGGCAAACGTTCTGCCGGAGAAGGTAGATGGCATACTTTGTCTGCTGAGACGGCAGAATGGAACGCGTATACAGGGGAAATCTAAAAATATACAAAAATACTATATGCTGCAGACTCATTTCTGTGTCACTTACTCCCTTGTGGTGTAGGTTAAATCCTTGATGTCGTCAACAATGCGAGCTCGGGAAGGTTCGTACAAGATCCGATTTCTCAGAGGCCGATCCATTATAATGGCCAGCATCTGGACCAGATGAGCCACGTAGCCCAAGGCCGCGCTCACCGCCAGCGGCGAAACGTTCTCCAGCAACTGGGCGTTGCTGGCCTGGCGGGACTCACTCGTGTACTGCTCCATGTGGGGGAAGGCGATCCCGCAGATACTAAAATGCTGTCCTCCCTCGCTTTGCACGTTGTAGATCTCCTGAAGCTCCAACACCAGTGTGGACATGCGCCTCTCCACCTGTAAAATGCGGTTTAGGATTATTAATTCTAAAATCCCTTCCGGGCGGTTTCTCACCTGTCTTATAATCTGACGTCGTAGATCGCGTTGCGCTATATGCTGGGGCGCTAGGGTGCGCAGTTCCAGCCGCTCTTGCTCCAGCCTATACCTCTGACTATGCAGTTGTTGCTGAACCGCCTCGCGCTGCTCACGGAGGTCTTCCAAACGTTGACGGGCTCGCTCGTTCCTTTGTCGAAAGGTCTCACGCTCTGCCTGGAGAAGTCGTTGCTGGCTCCGAAGAGTTTCAATTCTCCGGGTGAGGTGCTGGGCGTTGTAGAGAGTGAGGGGGGCAATCAGTTGCTGCTCGGCTAACAGCACACTCAGGGTGCGGCCCATGGAATGGTGGTTGGTGGCGTGGTCCCCAGACATAGATGTGGTGCGGGGCTTCAGCCGCAGCTCATTTTTAGTCACACACTGGACACTGAGACGGGCGATCTCCCTAGTTACTACGGCCATCTGCTTTTGTCTTTGCTGGTGCAACCTCTGAAGGTGTTGCAGTTGGAGCACCTTGTCTAAATTGTAGCTACGGCGGATCTCCTGATGGTGGCACTTCAGTTGGGCATACCGCATGGTGCTCATTCGAAGCACAGGACTGGAACTTCGGCTTACAGCAGGCGAATTGATGCCTACGTCCTTTGGCGCTTCCCGTTCCTCCTCCGCTGTATAGCTTTGGTAGTGCAAATGCAGCTGCGCCTGCAGTCCTTGTTCACTTATCTGCAACGGTGATGCAAACAGCTCGCCGTTTAGTTGAAAAACCAAGCAGTTTTCACCGCATTGGGCCAGGGTGATAGGTGCCAATGGTATGAGGCCGGAGAAATAGACGCCCCAGCTAAAGTGCAGTTCTGGGGGACGGGGCAGCTTGCTGGGCGTTAGCTGTGATTTTCTGAAAAGCGTACACAGATTAATTGGATGTTGAGAGACCTTTTGTTGCATTTACTTACCCGCACATATCATTACTCCTATCGTCAGTCTCACATGGTTGGCCCTCCCGCCTGGCAGCCGGAAAGTGTTTCCAAACTTTTACACAGACACACTGCGCATTGGACTTCCGCCAGGCGTCGTCATCCGTACAGATCTCCGCCCACTTTTGTTGCTGGTGACGCAGCGGAAGCTTCTCGCTCGTGTAAAAAGGCTCACTGGTCTGATCCGAGTGCAGGGTGTAATAAAGCATCACATCTTCAGGCTCCAACTGCTCATCTTCCTGCTGCCGGGACACAATGTTAAATCCCTGAATTCGCGCCAGGTTTCGCAGGCGGAGCTGTTGGGTGGCCAGTGGCAGCCATTTTCGGCATCGCGGCCGCAGATTCATTGCGCGGCGTTGTTCCGTAGGCGTTTAGATTACGCGGTGCCCGAAGGCCTCAACATTTTACAATAAAATACGGTTTGTTGTAGTTTTTCCGCAATAGCTTTTTATCAAAAAAAAACTATAGGGCTAACAGCTGTTTCCAAATGAGGAAAGTGTGTTGGTAAACGTTTAAGGTTAGTTGAATAAAAATCATTTAAGCTAATAAATTATAATAGTAAAAATAATAAAAACAATAAAGTTCTAAAAAATAACAGGTTACTGAAAATCTTTAAATAATATGACATTAAATTAAATGAAGAAATTAAAATAAAGCTAACATGACAGCTCCATAGAGTCTTTCAGTTATCGATACATTTTATAGTGCTGTCTATCGTCCCAATCTCGTATGGATTTCGCCAACACTGGCCGCTCCATTTATTTTGCTTTTTCCTTCGGTCCGCGAAAAAGGAAACTTGCTCCAAGGTTTTTGTCTCCTAAAGTTTGCTGTCAGCCAGCACCATGCTGAACTACATTAGAGAGACGATCATGGCGCCAGCGACACGCAGCAGTAGTGCTAATCAAAATAACAATACCAAGTCACAGGAGGCCAATAAGAATGCTAAGGCATCCGGGTCCAAGGATTCTTCTCCAGCTCCAATGCGAGGCTACAAGGTTACTGATAATGAACGAACCAGAAAATACGGAATTGGGGCCAACTCCCTAGGAATGCTGATAGAAAAGGCTAACAACAAGTTCCCGGTAAGTGGGGAAAGTTTTCCAGGATGTGAGAAAATTCCTGAATGGGCACCCACCTACACAAGGGCAAAGTGCTCTTGGCCCTGGCAGTTTCAAGGCCACGTCCCTGGCAGTGGCTTCCGCATTTGCTTGGTTCTCTTTCAATGCCATTAACGGAGGTCAGTGCGCATGCCCATGAATCCTGGCAGGAAAAACTGACACCTGTTGCTGCCAGGTCCCTGTCTCCCTCCTAGAAAGCAAGTGCTGAAGGCCACTGAACCGTCCGTCACTCTGGCCTTGATACCTCTGACCATGTCAAGGACAATTTTATTGGTTTGTTGCCTTCCTTTAGCTGCCAGAACTGCACTTGTATCTGGCGTCCGATGGCTTCGAGGTGTCTGATGACGAGTACCTAGACAGCCTGCCCGCTCAGACGTTGTTTATTGTAGCTGGCCCGGATACTGTTATAACAACAGGTTAGCAAAAGAGTCTACTTTAAAACCATATTTAATTTAGTTGTTATTTAGATGCGGACTTTGAATTTGAGAAAATGCGTCAGCAGTCGCCGTTGCTGAAAGTGGCAGACATCTTCTATGACTTTATTGAGCAGCATCCGGATAAATTCCGGCGCATGATAACGGAGTATGAACTGCAGAAGCAACGACGCGTCCTCGACAACACCAAGGCGCATCTGAGTCTGAAGGCTGACCATGTGGAATGGTTCGAGGGGGGCGAGGAGCGATTCCATTCCAAGGAGGAGGCCATGGCCATGCGAGCCCAGACACGTGTGCGTGGTTATTACTACAAGGCTAAAGAGGAGCTGACCCGCAACCCGCTTTACCGACAAAATGCCAAGGCTCGGCAAGTGATTAACTCAGTGTTGGAACAGTTTCGCTATTTGCTGATTGGGTGCGACTACTTCTCGATGATGTTCAACAGAAAGTTCGAGCAGAAGCATGAGTTCCTCCAGCAGCATCAACAGGGGGAGGAAGAAACGGATGCTGTGAGTGTACCCAGCAAGCGACTAAGGCAGGTGATTAAGGAGTATACCAAGGAGAACTCTATCCTCGACGAGTGGTCGGTTTCACTGTGCACTGATCTAGGAGACTTTTACTGTCAAGGATCCTACTCTGAAAATGGAAACTGCTGCTCGCTGCAGCACAGCATCAACCCCTATGCGTCGCGGGAGAATCTGATTTTGTTCCAGGTCTGGAACCTGGACCACCAGATCGAATTATGCCGCACCATTCTGCCCGCTCTTGTGGCCAGCGTGGAGGAACTTATATCCCAACCGCATCGTAAATGCGCTGTGCACAACAAGCGCGTGGTGGACATATCCGTCCTGGAATACTTTCTTGAAATATTTTCTTTGAAAAACCTTAGATTAGTTCACATTGTCTGCCACGAAAAGACACCTCGAAAAAATAGATCCAACGGCCGTTTGCTGTGTCCGGAATGCCATGAATATCGTATTGTACAGGAACTTATGGATTTACAGGCCAGCGATTCGAAGTCCTAAATTTAAGGTTTACAAATCGTTTACAAAAAGCAATATTTTTATAATTAATTTTTCTTTTTTCTCAATTGAAAAAGATGATTTTTCTCTTAAAAAGATAAGTTGTACAAATCGAAAGTATCTCAAAGTTAACTATCAAAACGTACTGTTGAAAGTATTTATACATATATACATATTGTGTCTAAACATACTTGTATGCATTTAATGTTAAAAAGCTTAGAAAACTATTAGATTTATGTGGCTATGCAATATACTGATATAATCTAGCTTTAAATGTTCGTTGAGTGTAACGCTAGTAGTTGAGGTTCGAGTAAGTTTTGTTGGCGTTACATCGATCAGCATGTCCAAACTAAGATATACAAAGTTATATATAAATATCAATATATAAAGTGTTTGAAACAGATTATATACCAAATATATATACGTATTTCAAAAGTATAAATGAAAAACATACAGGCTACAAAGGTTTTGCTACTCTTGGCTTCTGAATACCACTAAGAATTTACTAAAAACCTGAAATGTTTCATTTTCCTCTCCTTGTCTTAAACTTAAGCTATTCCAAATCAAAAGACAAATTGTATTGACTTTATTTCTCTTTATTTACTAAAAATGTTTACTGCATACGAAATTATACAACACAAAATATATTTTATATAGATATAAAATAAAAATAGTCAAATCGATGTAAATTTAAAAGACGTTCGTATGCATACGAACATAATAATAATTATAAATGAATAAATAATGATGACACAATACAAAGTAAAATCGTCAATAGTGAAATTGTTTGAAATAATGATTTTCGCAAATAACAAAATATTTATTATACCATTATTATTATTAGTCGTATTTGATGTGCGCTTTCGTGTTATCCGGATACATATCAAGCTTAGTCGATTTCTTGCATATAATTCGTTTCGTTGTTACCTCATCATCACTTAAATTTTAGGATTAGTAATTATTCGCTTGTATTAATTGCTTCGTAATCGTGTTAGAATTGTTTTGTTTGGTGTTTAGTGCTGCTACCAAATCGCGTTCAACAAACAAAGAAAAAAACAAAAACTTTCCTCGTCAGCTACAAAATTATGTTGGTTAGTGTAAAGAAATTTTACTAAAAACTTGTATTCCCGTTCCCAAGCTAAACGATTGTGGCGATCCTTAGAGTGGCTGGTACTTAAACTAGATAACTATAACAAGCATTCTGATTCTGAGTTTCAGTTTCGATGTCTGTATGCTGTGTTCAGTTGCTATAATTGATTTCTATGGCGTTGAGAAATAATTATAGATCCGATTGTCCAGGTCCTGAAAGAGATTAAATGAAGGAGGTTATTAAAGTCATGTCTTTTAAGGCCAAAAGTAACAAACAAATAAAGCTAACACTTAACTGTAGGAACTTCCGAGTCTGAGTCAGACTCACATATATACGAAACGTAAATAAAATAAAAATTTCAAAGCAGCAACTAAGAAAGTGCAAGTGCCAGGCAGCCAAATCAATTTTGAGAGAAAACTTCACCTTTATTGTTTAACTTTTGATTGCTTTGTTCATTCAATTCAAGTCAAGTCAGTTCAAAGTTCAATACAATTCAAATCTCGGGGTAAAAGCCATTCATTGTCATTATTAAAGTTAACGATTAATTGTTGTTAAGAATATATATATCTTTTATTGTGTGTAGAACAAGTTAATCGAGTATAAGAAATAGAAACATTTAATTATGCATTTGTAAACTCATGAATGGTTAATGTAACGAACGACTTTTCGACAAGTTATATATTGTACAATTTTCGATTTTATATATTCTCATTATCAGTCTATTATTTGTATTGTTTTTTTCGTTTATTTGTGACAACAACAAAAAATAATCTTCATTCGTTGTTCTTTGCAAGGTGGAGTTTGCTCTCCAAGCTCAAGATTTTTGGGGGAAGCGTTCTGGGATATAGGAACTACAACAGATCGATAAAAATATTTGCGATGAGAAGTAAACAGGATTTAAAACAAAGGTCTATTTTTTAATTATTTCAATTTATATTGTTAGATCGAATATGTTAATGGTTTCGAGTACTACGAATTACTTGAAAGATGTTAATTGGTGAGCACTGTTGTTGGAGCATACAAACCTGCATTGAATTTTTAATAAATCTAAAGATCAAACGATCTAAAGTGATATCGCAAATATTTTTATAGAAGTTATTAGAATAGATTACGGCACACAGAATTAAAATCAAATAGCGGCGAAAATAAAAGTAATAAATAGAATAGAGGACAATTTTTAATTTTTTTCGAATATAATGAATAACATTCAAATTAGTTCAAAAGTTTTGTGTTTTTTTTTTTTTGGGTAATTTTTGTTGTTGCTTTTAATAAAATTACATTTTTAGGTACCTTAGGATTTTGAACGAGTTTTACGAAATCTTTGAGTTGAGATGAAATTGTTTTTGGTTTTTCTTTTATTTTGTTGTTTATTGTGGCGATTTAATAGATTTTTTATTCAGTTTTATATGCTGGTTATTTGGTTCGATTATGTCGAGAGAGAGTTATGTTTTACAAATTTTGACATACTCATGTAGTAGTTTGGTTTTTAAGAAAATGATTTTGAATTTTTGGTTTTGCGCTTTTCTGAGGTAACAAACGAACGAACGAATGAACGATTTCTTTTCATTGGTTTCAATTGGTTTATTTACATGTTTAATATTTAGTTTATTAAAGTGTTGAGTGTATTTGGTATTCATAATGTACATAATGTGAGTGCTGGGATGATATGCGATTGGATGATGGTGATATAAGAAATGCAAAACTGGCTTTGGGTGATACCCAGTCCTTGGGCAGTGACTTCTATGGCCAAATGCAGAAAGATCGCCTTAGGCGCTAAATTATCATTACCAGAATTCGGGAGTGGTAACCGGTTCGAATATCGATTAGCCTCCAGATTAACCTTTTAGGTTTTCTACCATCCATTTTAGGGGGATTACAGAACCCATGAGGATCGAGTAAGGCCCCTGTCGCTTTGAATTCGCTTTTCATTTCGTTCGATTTGGTGGGGGATCTTCGATCCCTAATCGCATCGGAACCGGTCTCACATCCCTGCTAAGACTACAGACCCGCCCTGATATATACAAGTGGCTACGTCCTTGCCATTCCCTACACCCGACGCCAACTGCTCACGGATCGCTCCCGGGACTGTGAGTTCTGTCGGAAGCATTCCGGACTCTTACTGCCCCTGGCATTGGCTATCTCCGGCGATTCTGTGACTCGGGCCAAGTCCCGGTTTATGGTCTTGGAGCTGAGCACTCGGGGGCAACGAACCGTCCAGGGGCTACGTCGCGGATCCTGCAGGTTCCGGAAGGCCTTGGAGGGGAGAACCTCGTCACCACTCCCACTAGCCTCGCACCAACTGTTGTAGTAGTCGGAGTACTCCTTGTCGTGCTTCGGGGTTGGCGCCGGCGTGCTGTCCAGGGAGCTGTTCTGCGCAGAGTCCATCTCCTCGGCAAGGGCTCGCTTGGCCGCCGCCTGAAGCTTCTCCATGGGCAGTTTGCGAAGATGCGTGCTGTCGCTTTTCAGGAGCAGGCTCTGGACCAGTTCGTTGACCAGCTTGTCGCTCACCACCTTCTGGTTCTTGGCCGATGGCCCCATAATGGGCGAGGCTGGACTGTTTGGAGTTGATGGATTATCCGCATCAATGCTGGTATTCTTGCGGAGGGGCAGGGAGAGACGCTCCCGGCGCTGGGTCATTGTCTCCGCTTCGCTAAGGGCACTCGGATTCTGTTTCCTGGTGATAGACACATTGTGCACGATCTTCCGGCGACTGGGCTTCAGTTGGAATTCATCAGCCTGCGTGGCTGTCGGATCCTCCGGAAGGTCGTTTTCGTCATGGAGCAGCTTGAAGAGCCTGGAATGTGTGGCCGCTCGCTGGTAGCTGCTCATCTTGCGCAGCTCCGGGAAGCTCTCCGATTCGGTGTCCGTCTCGGACAGGTGACGGTTCATGTCGGTTACCCCGGAATCGTCTTCCTCGATCTCCGACTCAGAGCGCTGGGTGCTGCTGTTACGGGATAGTGTTCCCTTGCCAACACCACTGTCCACGGACAGGGACTGTGTGGTCAAAGCCTTGGATCCTTGTGAGGGCACGACTTCAAAGGCACTGATTCTGTCGCGTACGGAGATCTTTGGCGCTTCCGAGCTAAACTTTTCAACTCCCAGATCGGGTAACCCGTTCGGCAGGAGCTTAACCTCTGGTTCTGGCTCCACATAGACCTCAGGCAGTTGGGGTTCGGAATTTGTGGGCGTTGGCGTGGGAGCCCCTCTTTCCTCTTCTTCGGCTTCAGGGATTTGCGGTTTGTGCTCCTCTACAATGGCACCGTCTTCGCCGACAATCTCGTATCCGCCTGGTGGTCCCAGTTCCATGTCCTGAGGTTCTTCGGCTTCCAGGATAACACTGCTGCGATTAGCCTTCTGGGAACTGGCCTGCGGTGGCGTTTGCTGACCATCGATGGAGGTGTTGAAGAAGGCCATGGCTTGGCGGTAGTTATGTCGCTTCTGTTCCGCCTCCTCGACCTGCTCCTTCTTGGCACGCTCATTTTCTATATCTGCCCAGAAGTCTACTTCTTCCTCCTGGTCTTCATCCTGCGGAGGTGCAGACCAAGTATACACTGTGGCTGGCTCGTGCATTGAAGCCATGGACATAGTGTCTACATGGCTCAGATTTGTCTCTGGGTTTGGCTCTTCTGCTTTGTTCTCCTCTTCCTCCTCCTCTTCTGAAGAATCATGTTCCAGTTCCTCGTATTGCTCGGCCAGTACCTTCTCCTCCTCCACAACTGGATCGACTATTACGGGTTCCTCGCCTCTGGCTGCTTCTAGAGTGGCCCACACATCGATCTCCACTGCCGGCTCATCAGGCAACTTGGCTCTGAAGGCTTTCGTTTCCACTGGCTTGTAGGGTGTCTCCTCCACGGAGTTCTGACGTTCCTTTCGGGCCCAGAAGGTGGCCGATTTGTGGAAGGTCACATCCTCATCATCATCGTCCCCAGGCTTCCTATTGGCTTCGATCTCGGCCCAAAAGTCAATTTCTTCATCGGTGTCAACCTCGCGAGGCTCCTCTGGGTACTTTGTGGGATCATATTCCATGTTTTCGGGTTTTTCTTCTTCGTGGATGCTGGTAGTGGATTTGATGTCCGCCCAAAAGTCTCCTTCTTCTTCTGCAGGCTGGGAGGAATAATCTTCTTTGCTCTGATCTACCCAGATAGTGGACTCCGTTTCCAACTGAGGCTCTTGGTTGTAAGTGGAACTCTTCCAGTTCGTACTTGAAATCGTCTCGCTGCTCTTAGCTGCCTTAGCTTGCTCTACCGAAGCCCAGAAGTCCTCCTCTTCGTCTTCTTCCTGGTGTTTATCCTCCTGGGGCTGTTCAGGCTTTTCTTCGACGATAAAATGTACCTCTGCTCTTTGAGAGCCGGGTAAGGAATCCACTCGAGCTCTTAGTGTTGTGGTCCAGTGCTCCACTCTGTTGACAGCCTCTTTCTTGAGGGGCGTGTATGTGACGGTTTTCTTCTTTTTGGTCCACTGCTTGTCAGCCACGTCAGTAGATTCCTTTTTTTCTATGCTAGCCCAAAAATCCACTTCCTCTGGCTGTTCTTCGGGTGCCTTCGTGGGCTCTGCTTCTTGGGATGCTGTGGCAAAGGTGGACCAGAAACTATTTTTGGCTGCTTCCAAAGATGCCTGAGTTTTGGACACATCAGCGGATTTGGGCCTCGGAGGCTTAGATTCCAATGCATTTTCTTTGGATCGTAGTTTTGGGACTTCAGCCGGTTGATCTGCTGGCTTTGCTTCGGGTGTTTTCCAGAAGTTTTTCGACTGCTCCATCATTTTCTGGGCCTGCATCTTGGTGGCCATCAATGTGGCGAAGAAATCAAACTCTTCCTTTGGCGAGCTGGCCACCTCCTTGACTTCTTCGGTCTTCGGCTTGACGTCCACTTGGGATATATTATTGGTGACATTATTGGACATTGTGTCTCCAAGGAATTTGTTTCGCATTCCCAAGGAAAATGAATTCGTGTCATCTTCAATACTGGGTTTCCTGGGAACAGTCATCTCCTCCACTGGATAGGCATTGGAGGTCTTGTACGGCTGTGACGTCTTTTCCACTGAATTGGAACGTGAGGAGTTGGACAGACTAATGGTTACACTGACGTCGCAGTCATCCTCATCCTCGTCTTCGCTTTCCACTTTGGCAACACTGAAGGAACTGGCAATGCTTGGACGCTTCTCCTCGACCTGGGTGGTGCTGCCCACTTGGACTGTGGCGACATCCTCATCATTGGTATTGCGGCTGAATGAGAACCGCAAAGGAAGACGCACTGTCACCGAGTTGGACTCCTCATCGTCATCGTCGTTCTCCTCGATTTGCTTATCAATTTCGTCCACAATGGTGGATCGGGAGTCATCCTTACGGACGACAGTCTTGGCATACTCGCTGCTGCGCTCCAGCTCACTTTCCTCTTCGTAAATTACGCTCAGATCCTCCTCCACAATGTAGTCCTCTTCCATTTCTTCCACGAGGCCTTCCTGCTCCTCTTCATCGAACATCTCGTCTGCGGTGGTTTCGTCATCGTCCTCATCACTACTTTCTGAATCCAAGTGCTGCTCGAGGGTTTTTCCTTTGTAGACTTGAACATTGGTCACCGATTTGATGGCCTGCAGGGGAGTCGGACGGGCTCCCATTTTCGGAGTAACTTCATCATCCTCGTCACTGCTCTCCTCCGAAGAGTCGCTGTCGGAATTCGAGGCATTCTCGCTGGGTGATCTGTCGCCCAGCTCCTTCGACTGTTCGCCGGCGTAGTTCTTCTGCAATTCCTTGGAGAGGTTGGCCTGGGTATTGCCCCCGGCTATCTTGTTGATGTTGGCCAAACGCTGGCTGAGCACATCGATGACCTGCTGGTTGTTGGTGCAGATATTCCTGGCCTTTGGCCGGCTGACCAGCTCCTCTATCTCCACGGAGTGAGCCCGCTTGGGCGGCTCCCGTGGCTCCACGCGAATATGATGTTGCATAATCACCTGCGAGGGCATGTCGTCGGTGCTGGGGGTGATGATGATGTCCGGCAAGACGCTGCTGGCCCTGCTCTCCTCCGTGGAGCTCTGGCTGTAGCTGGGAGCTACTGGATAGGGATACGGATGGCCATAGAAGGGGGGGTAGGCAGCAGGGGATTGGGGCTCCCCCGCCTGGGCGCCGTATGGCGGCATGGGTGGCGGTGGGTAATAGGGATAGTAGTAGGGATACGGGGGAAAGCCCTCTGCGGGCTTTCCCTCTACCGTGTGTGGTGGTGGTGGGGGTGGCGGATAGGGGTAGGGATAGGGCCAGGGCGCGGCACCTTCACCGTTTGGTGGCGGCGGCGGAGGCATGTACCAGGGATAGGGGTAGCCGTAGGCATAGGGATACTGCGGTGGCACCGACTGAGAACGAGGAGGCTGGGGGGCACACGAGCTATCTGAACTGAGGGATGAGTTTGATGAGTGGGTGGTGGGGTCTGTGTTGTATGTGGTGGGTGGTGGTGTGGGGGTGGCTGAGGTGTAACTTTGGCGTTTGTTGGTTTTATTGTTAATCTTATTATGATTATTATTGTTTTCATTATTATTATTATTGATATTAATTGGGCTTTCGTTCAGTTCAACATTTTCCAAATCCGAGTCCAGCTCGGTGTGATTTTTATGGTCTGAGGTCGGTTTTTGGTACACGGTTATCAAATATAAAAAAAGAAGAAAAGAAATAGACACGGTGAGAGTGCGAACATTATGTTGTGAGTGTGTTTATAAATCTGATTCGATCCGATTTCATCGGCCTGATTGATCGACTGATCGACTGATGGGTTAAACGATCAAGCAAAGCTATGTACAATTAAATGGCGCATGAGATATCGAAAATGGATGCTCGCTTGCAAAATGGTGTGTTGGTTTCTTCATGCAATCCAAACAGTGTTCTTTCCATTTAATTATAAGTATTCATATATGTGCATTACTTATCCATTATTGTCAGAATTAATATATTAAACTCAAAGGGGATTAAGTCGAACTCTTGACTGAACACCATTCAGCAAAAATTAAGGTGAAATCTCTCAAAAAGGATTCTGTTTTCTGATGCGATATTGCATATGCATATGTCTGGGAATGATTTTAGTAATGCTGGATGGTGGGTGAGTATATATACAGCCATGATATAACTTTATAATAAATGTATGACTTTGATTGTGATTTCGGATTTTTGCTATCCCCTAATCTCCTGCTCCTTGGTGGGGGTTTCAATTCTGGCACAACATTACTTACCGGCATTTTCAGGTGTTGTCATTGCTTGAAGAATCTTAAAAGATCGACTGGGGATAGCGCTTCCTGTGTACTTTTTGGGTTCCGGAACTTGTTGTTCACTAGGCGGCACATATTGTTTTTGTTGTTGGGGTGTATCTAATAAATATTATTTAAAAATAGACTTCGTTTATATATTTTTAAACTATTTCTAGCCATACCATAACGTTGTTGTGTGAATCGATTCTGGGCAGAGACTCCATTACCTGAAATAAAATCAACACATGTAGAAGCTGAAAAAACCCACCTTAATATATAAAAATCAACTAAAAATTAACTGTTTTTATAATTAGTTTTCTACTAAGTAGTGCTGCATAATTTTGATTTGAACTAAAATGGCACCCAACCTTAGGACATACACAGGAAGCTGATTAGTTTCTATCAACCGAAAGAATTTGTGGCTCAAAGCTGTTTTAGGTATTAGTAATAGACTAAGGACCCAAAGACACTCCCAGGGGACTACGCACTCTTTACCTTACCCACCGCTGGATGAATATGAGGGATCTGGAAATGGGGGACAACCTATGGGGAGGGAGGGGAGCTACCTATCGAATCTCACCTTGCGGGGACCAAGCTAGTGGCGTACCCGACTGATACTGCTGCTGATCCTGGGCGATCTGGAGGCGCCTCATCTGCTCGATGGTGGGACTATTCCTAGCCTGTTGGGCGCTCATCTGGCGGGCGAACTGTGGCCGCTGCAACTCCGCCTCCTGGGGCGTTTGTTGCGTCTGCTGTTGCTGCTGGGGATGCGTTTCATCGCTGCCATCGTCCACGGTGTCGGTTATCTTTTGCAAAATTCTAAACGATTTCGATTGGATGGGTGGTGAACGTGGATCGCTGCAAGTAGATATAGCCATGTGTTAGGTTAGGTTGTTGGTTAGCATGCCATCGAAAATGTCTGAAGTCAACCAAATTACAACAATTTTTGGCGAACGAAACGATTGGGTTAAGTGTTATGATCAGTTTGGATACGAACTGTAGAGAAACCAAATTTTTGTATCTAAATTTTGCATTAATGTACGAATTTGTACTTTGAGCTGAGATGCACTTGATGTGGATGATATTGATAATGAGGATGATGGTGAGTCACATAATTACACTACAATTATTCACATTACGAAAAATCCCTGAAGAAAATCGCTTAAGCTTTTTAAGATATCTTTTAAGCATCTTTTAAATGGAGCTATATTTTAAAATATTTTCCCTATTATATTTCAATCTTTTCCCAATTAGAATCAATTATTTATTATCTAAATGTAGTTTATATTGGGTTTAAGTTTTAAACTGGGCTTAAATACAAATTTTGAATTAAATAAAGTTTTGAGGAAAGCAAATTCTTGTAATAAAGCCACTTGAGTAGCCATTATATTTTAGATCAACTTTGGTAATGAAATAAGCCTTGTTTTCTTATTAAATATCCAAAAAAAAAGTATAAGAAAATCTTATACAGAAAGTCTTAAAGTTAAAAGGAGAGGGATCCTAAACATTCTCTTGAATTCTTTATATAACTTTTAAGCCCCGAACCTTTCCCTTATGATATATAGTATAGATTCTATACCCTAACCGGAATACTATTTTCTGCTCCATTTTAAGATTTAAATTCATAGTTCCAATTGAATGACATTAATGTTAGGGTTATTTTGCTGGCGACAGTGCTCTCGTAATACCTGAGACGATTCTTTCTGTAGAGTATCTCCGCCTCGAGCGGACACTGGTGCACATACAAATTGTAATTGCCACTAAATAGTCGTTGGTTTAGTTGGTCAGAGAAAAGCACAAAATTAAGACGCATTAGTGCTGGCCAGGATTAGTGTTGTTTTGGGCAAAGCACAAAAATATCAACAAACGGACAGACCTATCCGTTGCGGGCTACTTACTTTTGGAGTAGCACTGGCGACTGGGAGACCGGACCTCCGCGTCCTCCCTCGATGGCGATCGGAATTATCCTGGTTGCGTTGCCATTGGTGCTGGCACTCACCGGCTGCTGGCTGGGCGACAGGACGCGCTGGGAACTTGGTTCCCGCCACTGCCCTGCGGGGGGAGCTGCATAATTGTTGTAACCTTGATCGACAAATTGATTAGCTGAGCGAATTATGTGACCTGCAGGCGCTTTCGTAGGAGAGAAAGAGTGTACATAGACACACGGTAATATAGAGAACTCGGAGTAGGGGTTATACAACTGGACAGAGAGCTGGGACTACGGGATGTTTGGGGAGGGGTAAGACATTCCTGGGGAGCGGCAGGTGCGAAGGAGTGGGAGTGGTTTTTAAATTTTGTGGGTGGGTATACAACTAATGGGTTTAGTCACAAACATCTAGAGGTTTTTAGGAAAGCGCCACAAATAAAAAGAACAAAACACATGTTAAAGGCTCTGGGGCTGGGAGGACTTACCACCGAAATTGGGCTGGGCTGCGGCATAGGTGGGGGTCTGCTCGAGAGTGATGGGTATGATACGTTCCTGAAAATAATGAAACTTTAAATAAAATTAAAGACAAAGTAATAAAATGGATAACCCACCCTTGGTGCACTTGGATTGGCATTGTTGTTGCTGCTGCTGCTGCCATTGGTGTTTAGATTGATCTGCAAACGCAATCCTCCTGGCTGAGGATTCGATCCGAAATTTTGCTGACTGATGATGGGAGCAGCTGCCACCGGAGATGGTCCATAGCCATTTCCTGTCTGAGGCTGCAACTGCGGCAGCTGGTAGAAAGAGGTCTGGCTCTGGGGCTGCGGTGGTGCCACTTGGGGCTGCGGCGCCGGCGTGGTCTGTCTGAGAGTGGAGGGCAGCACGTTGCCGTTCTCCTCGGGACGACCCAGGGCCCAGGGTGCCTGCTCCTTGCTGGCCGGCTGAGAGGTGAGCCACCTCAGAGGCTGGTTGGCTTGCGGCTGCTGTGACTGCTGTTGTTGTGGCAACTGCCGCATTGGCGAATCACGGGCACCTGGCTGCTGCTGCTGTTGCTGCAACAGAATTCGTTGAGCCTGCGGCTCTGTGGGTTGGGCCAAGGGAGCGATGTAAAGCGAGCCAACATTGGTCTAAAAAAGGTTAAAGGTAAAAAATAAATATTTTAATATAATAATGGATTTAGTGTTTATGATTAAAATTCTCTATTTTTCTCTCTCTTTTGCCACTGCCACTTGCCTCAAGTTCAAAATTCGTGTTTGGCCTTTACATTTTGCTAATTATAGCCACTATATACCACTGCACTTGGTTTTTGCGTTCAATGTTTAGTCTAAAATGTAAAGCCAACAATCTCTCTAGAAATTTTTGTCTAAAAATACCCCAAATACGGAAGCCTTTCCGTTCGAATTCTTCATTCACGCAATTATTTCCAAATTTTACAACTTTTTTTCGTTACTCGATTTGAATATTACTCATTCGTTGCTTGGCCAATGGTGCGTATGAGTAATAAAGTTAGAGGTCGAACAAAAATGGAAATTGCACAAAAATAATTACATATTTGGTAATTTTATTTTGTTGGCTTTTGATTTTTACTCACAGGCTTTGCTGCTGCCGCATATTGGTTTTGGGTTTGAGTGCCAAAGTTCTGCTGTTGCTGCAGCTGCTGTTGTTGGAAACTAGTTGCTCCGGTTTCAGTCCTAGCTGGGCTGAAAACATCGCGAGATCTCTGTTGCTGTTGCTGCAGGGCCTGAACATTGTTGTAGATGGGCTGGGGATGCGATTGCAATTGCTGTTGCTGCTGCGGCTGTTGCTGTGGGCCAGGCTGGGTGCGTTGTGTTCTCCAGGGCACAGATTGGGCGGCCTGTTGCTGTGGCGACTGCTGTGGTGGCACCTGGGCCAGTGGCGATATGGCTGCTGGTGGACGTTGCTGCGGCGACTGTTGCTGTGGTGGCACCTGAGCCAGTGGCGATATTGCTGGCGCCGGACGTTGCAGCGGCGACTGTTGCTGCTGGGCATACCGGAAGGGACTTTCTGTGGATCGCTGTTGCTGCTCGAAGGGCGATCGAGGACTCTCCGTTTGCCGAGTGTACACATTCACAGCCGGAGAAGTCGGCATAGCTACACTACGGAACTGTGATGGAAGCTGTTGCGGCTGCTGTTCCTGTTGTGGCAGTTCCGGCTGAGCCTGTGGCTGTGGCAGCTGCTGTGGCTGCTCCTGCTGTTGTTGCTGTTGTGGCGGTGTTGGTGGTGGGGTTGGCTGTTCCTGCGGCATTGGTGGTGTCTTGGGAGAAGCCACCGGCGGCTGTTGCTGTGTAGTGGGTGTGTATGGGATATAGCTGTTGCCATTGTTACTTTCCACACTGGGAGCTGGTGCTGATCTGGGAGCTGAATTTAAAAACAAAAATATTTTATTAACTTCCCTGCCATGTCATGGATTTTGTGATATTTTTTATTTTAGTGCTGTTAGTGGGAGATTGGTGAGCCAATTTGTGGGCCTTTGGATGTCTAATTAGTGGAATGGGTTTTTAGAAGAAGCAACCTCAACCGCTTAGTATTTGCTGGCGATGTATCATGAGTCGTATCGGGATCAGTATATCCAAAACCAAAAACCATTAGGGAAATGCCAGCCAAGTCCTCACCATCAACAACATCGGAGGGAGTGTTGCTGCTGCTGTTGCCATTGCTGTTGCTGTTGCCATTGGTGTAGCTGTCAGTTGGGGCAGCTGCCACCTCGGGCAGAGGGCTCTTGGAGCGGTCTTTGCAGTACTCGTCCTTCCAGAATGTGTTCTTCTCCACCGGAGGCGGAACTTTGCGCAGCGCAGCCATCGGGTTGGGCGGGATCTTGATCTCCGGCCGGAAGCCGAGTGGCGGCGGCTCGAAGCGCTGTGGAGTGGGCGACTTGCGGGCAGTCGCCGGAGAACCGGGTGCACTGAGACGCCCTGAGGGCGGCGCTAGTGTGCTGGGTTGTTGGGGGGTGGTGGTGGGGGTGCAGCCGCTGCAGCGGCGGACGTACCGTTCTTTCCCGTCTGTCCCAGGGGCTGTGGCGGCGGCGGCGGGGGCAGCACCTGGAAGGGCATGCCCATGGCAGCGGCACCTATAGCGCTGGCCGCGCCTCCGCCCGGCGACTGCGGCTGGGCAGGTCTGTTCTGTTGGGAGGCGCCGGTCGCCCCCTCCGACTGGGCGTTGCGGGCCAGGCGCTTGGCCATTCGCTCGGACCGGATCTGGGAGAGATCAATGCCGCCGGGTGTGTAGGTGAACGGCTTCTTGTCTTTTGTCATCATAGCGTTCTGGACGCAGGCGGGGGCCTCGTAGCCTCCGTTTCCGGCTCCTCCACCTCCGCGCTGTCCATATCTGAGGTCATGAAATGGAAAACAGACATTTATATTTAGAAAAGCGTATATGTAATGTAACAATATCATAAAAATAGAAATGATTTAAAGTCTATTATTGAATAGCTTGCCAAAATTTGGTTCAGTGTATCTATGCTAATCCAACTTCCATCTCCCCTTTGTTTGGGCTATTTATCATAATTTTTGTTAAATCTTTTTCTAATTTATTGTTTTGCGACCGTCCACTGGCAAAAAAAGCCCTCACTCGTGTTGTTTTTCCTTTCTTTGGCTGCTGCTTGACTAATGAGTCGCTCATCGATAGTTCAACGAGCCAATGTTTTGATTTTTTAACGATCAACGACCGACCAGCGATCAAGGGGGAAAGTGAGTCTCTGAAGCTGCTGGCAACGACCATCCATAGAAGGTGATACGACCGATGAAGTGCAAAATTTTGAAAGGTTGAAAGTGAGAAGTTATTGGGGTAAAGTTAGGCTCCATAAGAGTAAATTATTGAATTGGCTTTTTTTGTGCAAATTAAGCGACTTGATACGATTAAGTAATTGGCTCAAAAAACTACTTTCAACAAAGTATTCATTAAAAGTTGTAGTTAAGACTTTCATTTTAAAAAATATAAATACCGTGGAGGTAATACTACTATTTCAAAGTTAAGATTAAGACTTCCCAGACATCAAGATTTCGGTTCAGAGCTTTTCTTTGGACACTTTCACGCCCTCATTGGAGACATTTTTCCCGGCAGATGTCAAGTGATTTTCTCCTTATAATTTACTTAATTTAAATGCGATTTGCACCAACAATTTGCTAATTAAAAGCGAAAATCGAAGACGTTCGGTGACGTTCTCGTTTAAGTGGAGACTCCACAACCTGAGAGACGTCCACCAGCAGCCTGAAAGCCTGTTATGCTGAAAGAAAGTGATGGCTGGGAGTGGGTCTGGGACTGGACGTCGGGCTGTGGTTCGGGTTCTGAAAAGTTGTCAGGCCTGTTGCCTGCCGTCCATCAGCTTCATTAGTTTTTATATTCAGCTGGAAACTACTAGTACAGCCATACGTATATGCGAGTGCGTGGATGATTCGCCGGCAAGTGGGTCAGGCGAACAGGAACAGGTGATGTTCAGGTCTGTTCCATAAAGCTGACATACGGCTGCGGTCTCGCCAAACTTTATTCACCTCCAAGTCTGCGGTTGTCCTCTTGGGACAGATCTGCAACCGCAAATGCGAAGGCCAGGCACTTAGTGGCTGTATCTCGTATGTGGGAAAAATGATTGCAAAACTCACCCACAACAGCGACTTAATAAACTGGCTTACATGCAAATTGGAGCGCGTGCATCAAAGTCAAATGCAGGTGACGTAACTCTGCGGCTGCGGTTAACAGTCGCAGAAAAAATAATATAAAAAAAATATTCATATACGAGTATTTGAAACAAATCACATCATTAATTGTCTCCAAAAGGGGAGCGATCAAAGAAATGCTGTCAGCTCCTTTTAGATGGCGGGGGAAAAACTATGGAAAGATATTCCCGGGCAGGTTAGGACAGACATGACTATGTCTGTTGAACTTGCCATTGATTATGTGCGAATAAATAGCATCAACGGCTTCCATAATTGTCGAGGCGTGTCCAAAATTGTGAGGTCGTTCCGATCGGTTCGTTTATTGACTCGGTGGCTGTTTATATGGCAGGGTAGGAAATTCAATTTACACAACAGTTTTGTTAACTGTTTTCCCATTATTAAACGCTATCGAGCCTTATTGGGAACGGTTATGAAAGTTATTAAAGCCAGACAAGCCTAGAAAAGTGTCAGCTTAGGCTCTACAAAAGTTCCTGAAAATGCAAATCTTATTTTATTTTATTTCATTGTTCTCAATTCCCTCTAGGTTACTTAAAAGAATCGTACTCATTGCTAAAATTATTCTTTAAAACTAAAAGATACACGCGTGTCGCCAGAAACTAAAAGCACAGATGTCCGCCGGTGACGTCAATGGCGGGGACGTGGCGTCAGTACTTGGCCTGGTACTTGGGGGATTCGGATATGAAATGGCTTCGGAGTACTTGACCACAAAACTAGACGGGACCACCAGCTGTTGGCCCGCTCTGACAGATTTGGCAATTAAAATGTCAGACCCCTATGTACGTGGAAGTAGGAAGCTTTGTTCTCAGTGCATAGGTAAACTGGCTAAAATATTTAGCATAGAATCATAATATGCCGTGACTAATTCCAAGGCACGTTTGACACAATTTCCTTGTCGCTATAATGAATCACAAGTAATTGCGACTTGCATTTAGTTGCCTTAAATAAACATTTTCAAAATAAATACATATATTTTCAGAAATATAATTAGAGGATTTTATCGGCCAACAAATGGGTTGTATATTTTTTTCCAAAAATAAATCAAAACATTAAGAAATGGCAGCTGTCCGTGCGTGCGGAGAAAACATGCAATGGCCACCAAAAAAATCACAAAAAATGAAATGATAGGAAAACATCTGGGAAATTTACATTTTCACTTTTTGTGGCTTGGTTTTGATTTGGCCATTCCACATGCAAATGAGCGTGCAAATAGCTATCAGCAGGTAACTGGCACAGACTAACAGCCGACTGCATCCGCAAGATACTGCAGATGTATCTGGAGAAACATTTTCAATGGCATTTTGTGGAAAGTGATGATCTGGTACTTATTTGTACTAAGGGGTGGCTAAATGCTTTTTTTATTCGAAAGCTATACTTTCAATTTATAATTTAAACTTCTATTTCAATATTATATAGTCTTTCTAAAAATTATACATATTCATAATCATAAGAAACAAGGTATATTAAAATCTAATTATCAAATTACTTATTTGAAGTTCTTAAATTATTGTAGATTTATATTTTTCCAAAACCCTAAAATTCTTTGGTCCATTATACCCCTTGCATACCCTGTTGCCAAAGCCAACTGACTGCCTAGAATTTTCTGCAGCTGGTTGCGCATATTTCAAGATCAAGGGCAGGCAGCCAGCAGCTTCGAGGCAACAACAACCCAGCAGCCGAAGTAAGAACTTGAAAGCTGCCACATGCAACATGACATAATGATAGTCATTGTCCGCCCGAGCTGGTGTGTGCGATTCTGTGTGAGTGTGCCTATAAATAGCTGGAGCTGGAGAGCTGGGGAGCTGGAGTACAGCTGGAGCTGGGTGTCCCGTTCCGTGCAGCAACCGCCCACATTCCTAGGTTGAGCTAATCTAGCGATAAATATTTACTTAGAAATTTTTGCCCGTCTGTGCATTCTGGCTCTTTGTTGCTTTATAATTCAGGTCTGGGCTATTGCGCCTTCCTTATCATGGGAAGAGGCATATGGATAATGGTGTCTTGGCAGGTCATGGACTTACGACGACTCCAGGCAGTTGGTCTTGGCTTCCCCGTTAGTCACAGGATGCAGCTCCGGCAGCTGGAAGCCACGATCCTTGTGCACCATATAGGCGGGCAGTGTGTCGATAATGGCATTGGCCTTATCATTATAAGATCCGAGGAGTTCGCGGTACTTCGAGTAGACGACGCGTTTCAGTTGGGGATTGTTAGCGGATACGGTTACGGAACCGGGGGCGGAAGTTGCCGCAGATTGCATTGTTGAAGTGGCCATTTCTCTAATATTTCTCTTATAGAAGTTTTGTAAACTTTGTTTTATAGTTTTCTTTTTTAGAAATTTGCTTTAACTTCAATAACTTATTTTGAATCACTTTGGCATAGTATATATCTCAAAAAGTCTATAATATAGACTGTATATCATGGAATTAGTTCTATTAATTTCTAAAAAAAAATTATAATATTTTCTTCATAACATTTGTGCAAATCTTTGTTATCAAACACACCATATCAGCAAATATGAACTGAGTAAGCCAAAAACAAAGGGGCAATTTGTAATTCTCTATATGGGGTTGGAGCTACAATCGATTTACATTTGTCAGTAACCAGATAGCTATATTCACACAAAGGTGCCTGGAAGTCAAATAAGCAAACGGATCAGCCTATGAGGCAAATGACTCAACAATCGAAGGCAATTTAACCTTTTTTTGGTACAGGGCAGCCGGCAAACGCCGATGAGTCATAAATACTGAGAAGAATCAACGAAATTAGTGGAATCTTAATCGAAGAGGGGCATATAGTAAAAAAAAGATACCAGCTGTTTTTCTTCACACTGAGATACGCTCACGCATGTTTATTATTTTTAGGAATGAGCTCAATGGATTTTGTGAATTAAAAGCTATACTATCTGGGGGATATTCTATCTCCTAGTTGGCCTATAAGAGAATATATATTATTTGATAAAATTTGACTTTAGTTTTCACTTCGTTATTGTTCACACACCACACTCGTTTCTAGTTAAAGCCACTCGCGCTGCGCAGAAAGTATCTCACGGTTACGTTCGTATCTGTATCTGAAAGCGCACTGGGCGACCGAACGCAGCAGAGTCTCGACGCGCATTGAAGTCGGGTTAGCTGGAGATTGGACTGACTGGACTGGCTGGACTGCGGCTGCGGCTGGAAACTGATTCGTGTGGTGTCGTGTCGGCAACTTGTTGCAGATACATTTTCGCATTGCCGCAAAAGGAAAACCGAGCTCTTGACAAACGTTCGGATGGCACGCGGTGGCCCGCGTCGTCCCGGTCTAGGTATCCACCAGATACCCCGCTCGGCCTGTAGAGCAATTTATACGTCTGTCAAACTGGCTCGATGCTGGCGACAAATTTCAGTCTAAACGCCAAATACTTTCGACGTTTTCGTTTATCTGTATCTGGGCATCAGTTCGGGTGTATCCGTGGATCTCTTATCGTGCGGCTAATTGTTTTCACTTTGCTGTCATGTCGTCTGCTTATTGCTATTGTAGATTTTAATTATTAAGCCAAAAAAATACATTCGGCGTTTATCTTCCACTTGAAGTTCTGGGTGATTTCTTTATCGAGCCTGCCCTGGGTTTTTGCTCTAATTAACACAACAAACCTTGTAGCAGAGTATCTGCGGAAATGTGGCCCACTAGCCTTGACTGACAAATAAATTGTTATCTTTCTGTCAGCCGTTTGCGACGTCTTGGGGCTCAGTTAAATAATAATTGGCAAGAAAGCGTTAAAGAATTTTAAGCGCAGAATGACTGGGCTAAAAACACATTTTCTTTTCTTTTTTTCCGATTTGTTCAAACTTAATAATTGTCCGGCCATAAAGAAGGGGAAAGTTGAAAGCTGATGGCAAATGTAACTGCAACTCATCGAACCAACAAAAAACTAAAATTGATAAATTTTTTTATTTTCTTGCTTATTGTATCTGGTTCCTATATTTATCACAAATTAGTAAGTAATACTCTCTGAACTGCTCTGCCTTTTCTTTTAAACTTAGAAGCATTTTCAAATTGCCTCCGAAGCTTATATTTTGTAGTAGAAAGCGGAAAGCAGAAGGCACTGGAGTTGAAAATATCCTAAAACTTTACTACGAAATTATGGTTTGAAGATGGACTTAAAAAGTAACCCAGTAATCCTGACCTGTGTATCCTCGCATGACAACCGGTTTGCCCACTTGGACCTGGAAGCTCTCTACGGCATCCCCCTGACCTGTCCCGTGGAGAAGTGCCAGGCCCAGATGTCGCCTCTCGAGATGCTCACCCACCTGCTGATGCGGCACCGTCCCCACGAGTCGATGATGGAGCTCAAGTCCAACTGGCCCACGCATTACGAGGTGGACCTGGACAAGCTGACTCCGGGCCGGAACCATGCCGTGGGCGTGATCGCCTACGGTGGCACTCCGAAAAGTGGACGCAGTTGTGCGGTGACGCCAGAGCTGCAGATCGTCCATAACATGCCCATCATCCTGATGTTGTACGTCAGCCCGCCGGCGACGGATATGCAGGAGGCCTACATCTTCTATCTGGTCAGCACGGTGGCCTCCAAGCGGGTCAGAGCCCACGTGTCCCTGCTGGACACCGAACATACCCAGGAGAAGATCGGCGTGCGCTGCCTGCGAAACTTTTTGGAAAGTCCACTGCAGAACAGCGAGTCGCTTTTATACTGCAACCTGGACTACCTCCTGTATTCGGCCACCGATATAGGGGAGCTGTGCCACTGCGCCAAGGATCGGCGCGTTTACGTAAAAATCGTGATTAAAGGCGAGCCCGACATGTTCGAGGTGGGTTACCCATTTGAGGAGGATAATAGACCCCCGGCAAACTCCCTGCCAAAGGTGACTCACTCGGATTGACAGACACATTAGAGCCAACTGCCGGTAATTGACGCACACACTTGAAACTCGAGTGGCTGTCAATAATATTCGATTTTTCATCTGTGTACTGTATACGAGTATATTGTACTGTCAGAAAATCAGTCCCCACTTTTCATTCAATAATTTTTTGTTTTGGCTGGCGCGAAAGTGGGTCAGACGTGGATAGATAGATTTTCAGTGTGGTGTTTTTGTGGTTTAATGGTTTCTTTTCGGTGGTGCAGCCCATCAATCAAGAGGGCCATCTAATTAGTTAGCCACAGGCCCCACATTGTGGGAAATCTAAGAAGAATTTTTTCGTTTTTCGGCAGAGAGTGTGGGATTTTTAATTATGTGTTAAATGCTTCTCGTCGCTTTTTCGAAAACAATTTTCCGTTTCATTTAATGAGAAATTATTGAGATACATTTTTGAGAGTTTATATAACTGAGTATTTTGATTAAAAGTCAAAAGAAATCCATCGCCAATTGGTCTAGCGTTTAGTCTAATAAATTAGACAAAACTATACTGGCTGTTAAATTCGCCAACAAACAACATAAATATATAGCATATCTTATATATACACATGGGTGCGATACTATTTATAAGTGGATTATAATTTTGCAAACATAAAACCCACGAAATTTATATGCCATTAAATACAAAAACACTAAAGTGATCTTTGAGGGCAAAAAAAATGAAAACAAAAACTAAAGAGATAAACTAATAATAAAAAGTACATATATTAAGCATCAACACGAGCACATGTGTAGGACTAAGAGGCCTCTTTTTTTGCTGAAATTGACCTTGAAATGAAAAAGAAAAAACGGAGGGGGAAAACTTATTTATTTTTTGTTCCCCCGGCAATCGCAATCAGGGAACCCATTCATCACTTTCTACGACTACTCGAGAGTTTGCAACCCGTTTTGCATTTGTCATTTGCCGGCTGCGTTGATTGCATGACGCGATCCCATCAGACGGAAAGCTGAGCCTGGCTGGGGGATTGGGATTAATCTGGCCTGGGTCAATGAAGTCCATGCCTCTGCCTCGTCCCCTGTCACTGCCCCTGCCACATCGCCCGCAACGCTTCCAGGTGAAAGTGAAACTCTGGTTCGACTTAAAGCCCGTTGCACAATCGATGGCGGCAATATTTCTTCTTCAGCTGATGGCGGGATACACACACAATATGCGCGTAAATTTTGTATATTTTTTCCAACCCAAGCCGCATGTGGCAGCCCAACATTTATGGTCAGATAGGCAATCAAATCCCGCCAGCGCCTTTTTTCGATATTTTCCTCTTTCCTTAGAGCTCGAACTGGTGCTGGTTGAGAAATTGCATTGATTTTGATTTGTGGTAATGAAAAGAGTAAAGCAACAAATTGGGATTTGTGAAACAAATAAAAAATCTCATTAAAAACCTCCTAAAACAAAAAACTTTCCGACATCATGGGCATAATGATTCATTGAATCTATATCGATTCACATGGCTAGGCCAATAGTCGACTCCCAATGTTGTTGAACTGTCATTTGGGTGTGGTTTTATTTATTTACCCTTATCTGGTTTTGGGAATCTTCCTTTAATTTAAATTCCTTTTTCCCTCGCATTCAAATTTCACGGTCATCTGTGACCAACTTGAACTTCAGACAACATGTCTGTTTACAAAAATGTGTAAAAATAAATAAAAATCACACTTGATTTACGCAATCAACAAAAGTGCAAAACAAAACCCACAAAGAAGTGTTAAAATAATTGTCGTTGACAAAAATCAGAGTCATGTCTGGTAATGCATCAAAAAGGCTGTGAATGTGAAGTTTTTAAATCCGAGTTAAAAGTAAATATTTATTTCAAGTTCACACGTAAAAATTAATTGGGATGTACCAGAAAAATATGCAAGTTAACTACAAAAATCTTAATACTATTTCGTACATGTGGCGTATACTTGATATTATTTAAAGAGATTTTAAAGGAAACCTACAATATTTATGTGTTCAATTTCAGTTCTATAGATGGTATTATTTATATTTAAAAATCGTGTTCCTTCTTTCATAATTTTGACCCAATTTCCTCAATATATTATCGTCTATATGTGTGGCTGACGAAAATTTATGCACAGCACATCAACGTCAACACAGAAATGCAAAAAAAAAAAAGACCTCAAAATATATACATATCTGTCTGGGAAAATAATTCAAGAAAATAAAGTCTAGAACAAAACTAAATGCATTGTTTGCCAAATTCTTAACTTTTTTCCTCTTCTGCGAAAGGTTTTTGGTGCGAATTCGCTAGATGAAGTGCGTGGCTGGCTGAGAACTTCCGGTAAGAGCCGTCAGACTTTGAAATTCCCAACACGTGTGCCAAATGCTTCTGGCGAGACTCGAGGGGACAGCTGCTTTCTGCTAGCTTCTAGCTGGGGGGTAAGACATAAAACTTTGCACAAAGTCTTGTTGAAAAATACGAAATTTAATTAATTAATTCGCTTAACGGCGGAACAACGAAAGTGTCGCCTGCCAAAAAGCGCGTGCAGCCTCTGGGGCCTTTTCGGTTCTTGGGCGTGGGCGTCTCCTGGCGTCGAAATCACCCATCGGATGGCCTTCAAAAAACTCATGTGAGAGCCTTAATTGTAGCGGCGATCATAAAGATGTTCGGACTTGAATAAAAGTCTTGTATATAGAAAATATATTGTATATTCATGTTAGGTGTATGCGCCGCCCATCTGTTTTATTTATTTTCTCCGGCTTGTGTTTTATTTTTTAAATAATGAGAAAACTATTAGAAAAAATAAGCAGGTGTTATCCGCAGAAGAGCGGATATGATTGTTTTTTTATTTATATTTTTTATCTTTCTTGTTCTTAAAAGTATTCTTGTTTTAAACTATAAGAAGTTACTTACCCAGAACTCATTTTAGCCGCTTAATATGTATTTTAAGTTAAACTTTAAAACACTTCGATACAACGCCCACGCACAGCCACCGGAGAGAAATAAATCGATTTCTTTTGAATTATTTTTTTTAGCCGTAGGCGTTGATTTTTGCCAAATCGCACGCAAGTTCTACGAAAAGATTTTGCAAACGACGCTTATGCACACAGAAACACTGAAAAATTCATTGGAAATCAAAAGAAAATTATGAATATTAATTCGAGAATGATTTTTGCACAAAATATCACGCGTTCTTATATAATTTTCAGCACGGACACGAGCACAGTGGAAATAGTTTTTCTCTAAATCGTTTCTTGTATATAAAGATAGTTCTAGTATCTACAAGTTTATTGAAAATGATGTTCACAAAAACGAATATTTTAGGGTTCGGCACGGATGACAGTATTCGGAAGAACCCTTTTTCAACATGTTCTGTTGGGAATTTTGTAATTTTTCTATTTTTAAAACGCGGCACGACGCATTGCTCACTTTTGCCAGAGAAAATACTCGTATCTATATCTATATATATCCGTATATATAGACAGCCCAGCTAGATAGATGATGGTATAGTATAGATATATCTATGTGTTAGTTTCTAGTTGAAAATTTCTTTATTTCGGATGGTTTTCTCGTTTGCAACGCGTTCAAGTTAGCAGCCCAAGTCGCACTGAATTCGCACACGAAATTTTCTCGGCCGAAAAGCCGAAAAACACATTTCACATTTCGAAATTGATTCTCCTTCTTATTCGGTAAATGTATATATATACACAATATATGCATATATATATGTTCTATTCGACCATCGGTCATGTCTGTGTCTATATCCGTGGACCAGTAGTGGTCGTACCACCAATGTGTTTGTACTTTCTAGCATGTGTAAAGTGCGTTTGCTCGGAAAATTCTGTTCTATGAATTTTGAGTTTATTTAAACGAAATCTAAATATTGAGCAAGCCCCCAGTTTTCCTCTCTAGCGATCGTCAGAACAATGCGTGTACTTTACATTCACGTCCGACCTTTGTCGGGTTAATGCGCAATGTGCCATAAATATTTGGCACTCGTACCATACGCTTCGAGCTCAATAATTTCGATCTTTGTGCATTGCAGTGCTATCAATCAAAATAATGACTAAACTGCTCCAAAAGAATTATTTCTAGAAAATTTTGAAATCATTTCTTTTCTTTCTTTGTGTTAATATTTTTACAGCTGTATACTTTTTTTGTTCAATGTGCTAGAAATAAATGTGACAAGCCATGGACCAAGATCAATGACAAAATTTTATTACCCATTAAGTGTACAAGAACATATAGATTTTTATGATCACTTTGCTTTTGTTTGTTTATTAAAATAAGTTTTCGATGAAACTAATTTTCAAAAGTGTTTTTTAGAGTTCATTCGCCAAATATGTATTTTAATTCCATTTCAAAAGTGTTATTTATTCAGCCTGCTCATATCAATTGCATTTCAGTCTTAAACTTTTGATAAATTGATTGAGTGTTAGAAATAAAAATGAAATGTACTTCCACAAAATGTTGCATGCACCCCGTTAATTATACATGCAACGCCTCGGATCTGAAAACCTTAAAGCAAATATCACGCACAGAATTCTGACACGGCGTGAATGATTCCATTTAGTGGTTCTGGCCAGATGCGATGATAAATCATGATAAATCACATATGCTTGAAAAATAAATAATAGGAAAATACCGCTAAACAAACAGAGGGGGTATATGTGTAAAAACTGTGTATATCCCATTCTAAACCAGTGGGGAGATCTATGGCAAGTGAAAATGAGCGGTGCCTGGGGGAATTAGCAAATCATTCATCTTCAGGCGGCAAAAGTCTGACAAAATGCTATATTTTGTACTGGTAATTTACATGAAACTAAATTATCTCTATTTTGGTTTCCTCAATTTTTTTTTCGACTTGACTGGACCACCTGTCGTCGCGGAAAAGGAGCTTATGCTTAACTTCATGGGCTGATGATTTTGATTATAAATAGATTTATGGCTCTTTCCCGATATAATTGGTGATCCAAATGATTACACATATATATGCAAACACTTATATATAGATAAGACACATATCGGCTTGTACTTTTATTTATTTTTGTGCAAATGCGCCATTAAATTGTATAAATAGAACTTTGAAAAGCGCACAGGGCGCTGAGTCAACGATTGCCTCGAACATTAACCTCATTAGAACGGCGAATAATGATTTTTGATTCTTGTGTTGAGCATATGATGCTGTTTTTATACCAAACCAATATATATTCCATTGAAAACAATGATATTGGAACAAAAAACAAAACAGCTATAAGCAAATATAAGATCTGGAAATATTTTCTGTACTCGAAGATAGAACCTAAGGGATATGATTTAATAAGGTACCACAACCCAGAGAAAAGTGTCATTAATATATAAAATTCTATTTGGTAGATACAATTTTAAAAATTATTAAAAAATAAAAATTAAATGACAAGTCTTAGGGAAATGTGTTTCGATGATCTCTTTAAAATCAACTCCCTGGCATTTGACTCTCTAACCGAAATGTACAGCTTGACCTTCTTCGCGAAGCATCTCCTGGAGTTCCCAGAACTAAGTCAGATAGCCATTGCCCCCGGTCCGGAAGGCAGTCGAATGGGCTATATCTTTGGGGTCTACCACCTGCCAAAAAATAAGATAATGTATGGCCACGTTGCTTCATTGACTGTCTCCCCGGCATATAGACGTATCGGAGTGGCCACCACATTGATGGACTACTTCGACAAGATCCTGGATTTCAAAGGAGCTAACTACGTCGACCTCTATATGAGAATCAGCAATAAAGCTGCCTACAAGCTGTATTGTTCGCTGGGATATGCCCTTCGCGGAACTGCTAAGGACTATTATCCGGACCAGCCCAACCCGGAAGATGCCTACGAAATGAGAAAGTACTTTCCCCGGCCTCTGGAGGTTCAAGCTGTAGGATAATAAATTTCAGTTGGTTCTTGATCATGATCATTTTTGGATTGTACAGCTAATTAAAGAAAACCAATTGAGGTGATTTTTTTAACGACAGTCGAATTTCCGTTGACGCACAAGGGAAAACTATAGCGGATGGATACAGATAAAAAAAACCCGTGCAGATACTTTCGAACAAACGCATTTGTGTTCATAGTATCGTTGCCAAACAAAATTCAATTGCAAATTGCCGTTTCGAGATGGTCAAGGCTTTTGTTGTTGGCCTTTCTATTAGCAACATTTTTTAACGCAAACAAATTGGAATACTCGTACAATATATATTATACATATCCGTACAATATATATATCTATAAAAGTGTAGTCTGGTCTGAAACACGCGCAATGATTCTCAAAATTTTGCCATTTGCCATTTTGCGCAACTCGAAACGGCGAAAATCTGAAAATTCTGGTTCAATGTTGTCATATAAACAAATCTTGTTTCCATATGCTTTCTGACACATGTATATTTTTTAGTTTTTTGTTTTACTTTTGAGCGATTTGTTTCAAACTTTTAGTTTGATTTTCCCCATTCGAGTGCAATGAACTTTTAATGGGATTTTCTTTTGTGGCATTTGCGGAATAAATTAATGTCTTCTGGTCTTATTGAAGGTTTATTGGTAAAACATAATAAGCAAGGGCTGACTTAACAAACATTTATCTAATTCTCCTTAAAAATGTCACCAAAAACCAGATCTCTTATTCCGATTAGGTACATCATAATCAGATAGAGTAGCATATCGCCAAAGCTATAGAGCTTGTTTATAGTAATTCCTTCCAAGGACTTTCGCTCGACATCTTTAGAAAGCGGCAATTTCATATCGTAACCATGATCATCGGCATAGAATTGGGGCAGCCAGCGGTACTTGACATATCCCAAGGACTCGTACAATCGGATGGCATGCTCATTCTTCGCCCTCACAAAGAGATCCATGAACAAGTCGTTCCTGTGGTTCATCTTGTCCCGTAGATTCTCCAAAAGTAGGGTGGCCAGACCCAGGCGACGATAATCGTTTGATACTGCTAATGAGGAAACGTGGCCGTGACTCGAGCCCAGATCCTTTCCATCGCCAATAGTCTCTTCGGTATCCACAATGCGGCAGCCCAGGACGAAGCCCATGAGCCGATTATCTGGAGCCACTACCGAAAGGGCCAGCTCGGGGTGCTCGATTATTTTCGGGAACAAAAAGGGCAGAGAATACACCTCCACCAACGGATCGAAGGCTATGTGGTTGAACTTGAACAGATCGTCCAGGACGAATTCACGAACGGTGGTCATTACATACGATTGATTTGAGAAACAGTTCGAGAAGTTGGTCTGCGAAGTCAAAGGAAGGGCCAACTTTGATCAAGTCTAAGAAACAATTTAAATAAACGATATTTATTCCCTTAGTATTATAATTTTGGTCAAAAGTGTGTCACGCAGTGAGGATTTTGATGCAGAATGGTGAAGAATCAGTCCAGAAATCGTTTAAGGTACTCCGCTTGAGAATCGGATGAGAATTGGGGAAGATATAGCAATTACTGTGGGCCATACAGGGGAAAACACCATTTTCAAGGGATCCCTCACGAAAAATGGACAAAAAATCTAAAAAATATTTTGTCTCAGGATTTTGATGCAGAATGGTGAAGAATCAGTCCAGAAATCGTTTAAGGTACTCCGCTTGAGAATCGAATGAGAATTGGGGAAGATATAGCAATCACTGTGGGCCATACAGGGGAAAACCCCATTTTCAAGGGATCCCTCACGAAAAATGGACAAAAAATCTAAAAAATATTTTGTCTCAGGATTTTGATGCAGAATGGTGAAGAATCAGTCCAGAAATCGTTTAAGGTACTCCGCTTGAGAATCGGATGAGAATTGGGGAAGATATAGCAATCACTGTGGGCCATACAGGGGAAAACACCATTTTCAAGGGATCCCTCACGAAAAATGGACAAAAAATCTAAAAAATATTTTGTCTCAGGATTTTGATGCAGAATGGTGAAGAATCAGTCCAGAAATCGTTTAAGGTACTCCGCTTGAGAATCGGATGAGAATTGGGGAAGATATAGCAATCACTGTGGGCCATACAGGGGAAAACACCATTTTCAAGGGATCCCTCACGAAAAATGGACAAAAAATCTAAAAATATTTTGTCTCAGGATTTTGATGCAGAATGGTGGAGAATCAGTCCAGAAATCGTTTAAGGTACTCCGCTTGAGAATCGGATGAGAATTGGGGAAGATATAGCAATCACTGTGGGCCATACAGGGGAAAACACCATTTTCAAGGGATCCCTCACGAAAAATGGACAAAACATCTAAAAAATATTTTGTCTCAGGATTTTGATGCAGAATGGTGGAGAATCAGTCCAGAAATCGTTTAAGGTACTCCGCTTGAGAATCGGATGAGAATTGGGGAAGATATAGCAATCACTGTGGGCCATACAGGGGAAAACACCATTTTCAAGGGATCCCTCACGAAAAATGGACAAAAAATCTAAAAAATATTTTGTCTCAGGATTTTGATGCAGAATGGTGGAGAATCAGTTCAGAAATCGTTTAAGGTACTCCGCTTGAGAATCGGATGAGAATTGGGAAAGATAAAGCCATCACTATCACAAGGGACAGCCGTCTTTATTTTTTAAAGTGACAGCCCCCAAAACTATAACAAAAATTTAACAGATTTTTTCTTTAAAAATCAAGTGCATACTTCCAGGCGTGTTTTGAAATTCGATAAAGGTTTTGCCATTTTATTACATTGTTCGCTCTTATATTGCTGGATATCACGTCTTAGTCTAATCGAAAAACTATATTTATTTGATATTCTTGTAGATCCAGGGCAGCAGCGATGTGACACGAGTATAGACGCCAGGATATTGACCCTTTCCGCAGCCAATTCCCCAGGACACAATGCCCACCTGTGTGTATCGGCCACCATCGTTGATGATCATAGGACCACCAGAGTCGCCCTGGTAATAAAATTATAAAGTGATAATTTTTTAATTAAAACAAGACCTTTTTTAAAGCCTGGTTAGTTAGCGTGTTTAGTTACTTACACTACACGAGTCCTTGGCCGCTTGCCCGGCGCAGATCATTGACTCGATTATACCGCCGGGCGCCGCTCTTCCGTATTTCCTGGCACACTCCGCGTTTGCCCAGATGGGTATGTCCACCTTTTGGAGGATCGACGGTTGAGGTCCGTTCTCCCGCAGACTGCCCCATCCGGCCACAGTGGCCACCTGTCCGCTGTAGGACCGCGATTGTTGCGACGGCGAGGTTGGCAGGCAAATCGGTTGGATTTCGCGGGTGAAGGACACTGGCTCACTTAAAGTCAGTATGGCGATGTCGTTGTGCTGCAAAGGGGGATAAGTATTTAAAAAAATAAAGAGTTTTTAAATAAACCTCACCAAAGTGCTAAATTCGAATCCTTTGTGGCGAACCAGTCTCTTAATCCTCCGGGAAACGTGCTGCACTTCAAAGTCTGTCCGGATATTGTAGTCGCCCAGGTGCGCCGTCAAGGCTGCCACATCCCACGAGGTCATGCTGATAGAACAAGATAGAACATAATAAAAACAAGTAGGCTAATTTTCCACGATACCCTTACCGTGCCACACAATGAGCGGCCGTGAGGATGTGACTGTTGGTTATGAGACTGCCACCACAGAACTGCTTTCCGGACTTGAAGAGCACCGCGATCCAAGGGAACTCGTGTGGACTTGCGTTGATGCCGCCCACGATCCTCTCCTGGTCCGGGGAAACGGGATTCTTGTTGCCGCACTGCAGCGGTAGTCCTTCAGCGCTTGTTCCACTGGAAGGCCGCCTTGTGGTGGTCGTGGTTGGGGGTGCGGTGGTTGTGGGGTAACTGGGATAGGTTGGACGCCTGGTTGTGGTTGGTCGGGGGGCAGGTGGTCGAGGGGTGGTGCGCTTTGTGCTTGGTACTCCGGCGGTGGTTGGGTGCGTGGGGTAATGGTGGTTGGGGGGATGGGTGGGTAATGGTGGTGGCCAGCCACCAGTTGTGGGCGGATGCGTGGGCAGCGGAGGCGGCCACTGGGCCACGCCGCCAGCAAAGGTGCCAAATGGCCATTGGTAGGGATATATGGTAGTGCCAGGCTGGGCTGCCACCGGTGGCTGTACCTCCTCCTGCTCCTGCTCTGGGTCCTGCTTCTCATCCTGTCCTGGTTCTACCGGCTGGTTATCAGTCTCGGGCAGCGTATTCACATCCTGGAAATCAGGAGTATCCTCGACGCTATTCGGGTTATCGATAGGATCTTCTGGTTGTGGAGCTTCCTCGTTCGCTGGCTCTTCCTCCGGCGCGTCCACACTCACAGCCACCTCGTCTTCACCACTCAAAGGTTTCTCTGTCGTCGTGGTTGTTGTTGGAGTTGCTCCGGGTATTGGAAACACTCCAAAAGTATTGGCATCTATGTCGGTGCAACATATTCCGTTATTGATCCTTCCCAGTTGGTCGAAGAAGTTGCATAGATTTCCGTTCAGACCCAGCCCTGAGTTCTGAGGCCACTGGCGAAGTGTGATGAAGGTCAATTGACGTGCCACCCTGTAGTATTGGCGGCAGGAATCGATGCGGACACATACTCCTGGTTGACCCCGGGCAGTGAGGCATCTGGATCCCTCCCACCCACCGGTTAGGCCACCTTGCAGCAGGAGAAGATTAGGATCAAAGAGGTATTGCCGAGCTTTGCGATTCAAAGTTGAAGCGGAGGCTGTGAAGGGGATAAAGTCATTGTTATTTATTAAATTCATAGGATCTTTAATTGTTTCAAGAAAAAGTAACCTCTCGAAGATAATTATATTTCAAAACTTGGGAAAACAGATGCCGCATTGGAGCTTAAACTTTTAAGTGCCGCTTAACACCTTTGAGGGCTCTTAAGATCAGAGTTCGTTGACCTCTGGGAAGATTTGAGCTACATACACAATTGCCTAGCCAAAAATTGAGGTACCTTAGAAACCCATTTTTTAGCCAATCTGTTGCGGTATTGACAAAGCACCTAAATAACGCACCACCAAAAAGAAGATTTATATGGAGAAAGACCAAATCAATATTTACACAACATTCGTTCACGTTTCCAGTTGAGGGTCCACGCTTCTCAGCCAGCCGAGAGTGATTACTCAATATTTTGACATTTTTGGTTTTTGTTATTGCTGTAAGCCAGAATATTGACAATAAACTTAAGCTCTTTCCATACTGAATGACAATTGCTGTGCCATTTTACAGGCCAGGCCAGGCCGAGGCGGAGCGAAAGATGCTTGCCCCCCAAGGCGGCAACTTTCTACTGTCAATTGTCATATATTTGTCAGCTTCTTTAAATTGGTCTAGGCCTTTGTTTGGACCGTCGACTCTGTATTCTGGTTGTTGTTGCTATTTAGCATAAATTTGCCATATTTTTAATTTATTACACATGCTTCCATGGGACTTGGCCCAAATATATACCGACTGATGCATTAAATTTGCCTAAATAAAGCAGTTTGGCAGTTTATCTTCGACTGTTGTTCTTAACGAGCTGTTCGCTTTGTAGCGATTAATTTAAACGAGCTTCTGGACAGCATAAGCCCATAATGCCACACTGATGAGGTGTAAACTTTATTGATACTAAATCGAGCATAAAGTTGATTTCGAGTGGGAGCCAGCGGAGGGGAAGTCTCATTTTGCACGTGGTTTCTGGCTTTCTGACACAACTCGTAATGAAGAATACGTTCAAGGTGTGCTACGAATTTTTAATGAACATGCATATATTGTTTTTGTCAAGTGCTTCCCTCGGCTACCCTCAAATGGATCTTACAAGCCCTACACCCTAAGGAAAATGGTTAGTCCACTTGTGACTCAACCAATTGGGAATGTCGATATTCATGAGTGCGTATGTCCTAAAGAAAGCTCCCAAAAATATTACTCACATGCCCCAAAAAATGTATTAATTTAATGGCTTGTGGGACGTTTCATTATTTTGCATTTGATTCTTTTTAAATTGTTATGACAGGCTGTCAGGCAAAAGGCAATGGAAATAATTTTCGCTGATGAATTGCTGCTCCTGTTTCTCAGAATTTGGCTTAAAGTCATAACAATATTATCTTTCTCAGAGTAAGCACTTGATGCTAAAGTTACTCAAAACGTTTTACAAAAAGCAGGGGCAAGTTACAAGTTCAAGGTCTCGCCGACAGTTACAGGTAAGGTAGGTGGTTACTGCAACGTAAACCTGAATTCCAGCACAGGACACCTCCTCAGCGGAGCCGATCTGGAGGTCTACTTTATGGCACCTCTTAAATTTTATGCGACCAAGAGCCATATAAACGATGTATATCTTGATTGGTGCCCGCTCATCGTTAAGCAAAGTGGCCAAAATGCAAATAAAAATTAATTTTTAATGAATATTGCCTGCTCAATCGTTGCGAAGGTGTCAGCTTATTGTCTTATATAGGCTATATGTTTATTGACCAATCCCCGAAGCATGCCAAATTAATAGGCTTATGTCGTCGCCCCAGAAAAGACACACAACACCATCCCAGATCACGCCCCTACATCAAAAGTGCTGTCTAATTGTCTAATTGTTGGCGATAAATAAGAGAGAATAGATTGCCCGATGGGAACACTGACAGGCGACAAGCTCTGAAGTTGATCCAAAAGTTCACGCCTACATGCGATCTCTTGTTTGTACTAGAAAGCATGAAAAAAGTAGGGCCAATGTAACTTAAAGCCAAACTCAATAACCTAAGCCACTCGATGGCTTGATTTCGCATTTTCCCTCTTTATGTACGATTTATAGATTTCTGAAGGTCAAACAAGTAAAGCCTGGTGCGTGCCCAGCATAAATTCTACAATTTAAGCAGAAAATTCTTCTGTCGAAGTCGTTGAACTTCGAGTTATATTAGTGACGTATTTTTACCATAAAAGATTTATAATAGAAGGAATAAAATAACAAAGTACTCTTTTAATTTAATTTTGTATATTGAATATTCTCTACATTCTCTAATACTATTATTTGAATTAAATTTAAAAAGTATGGTATTAAATAATAAAATATATAATTTTGGGATTTTCAATATTTTTAAAATTTTATTTGAATACAAGCTACACTTTTAATATAAACTAATAAAATAAAAAAAATCAAAGAAAAAAGTTCGTGCCCTAAGTCTTTTGATTGCAAGCCTATCGAGAAATCTTTAGTAGCAAATACTCACCATCAGCTTTCAGATTAATTGTATCCTCTGCTGTGGCATTAACCAATACCAATCCTGCCTCGGGCGCCGCTTTTATTTCACCACTTTGCCACTCAGAAGCTCCTGCCATCCACCCCGACTCAGATGGAAGATCTACTCCGGTAATTATTTTAAAATGCAGCAAATGCACACAAAGTAATAAAACTCGCAAAAATGCAAACATTTTGGTTGTTTTTGTTGGTACTGCGGTTATCTTTTTCAATTTGTTTTCGTTTTGAACTGGGCAACCATATATAAATGGCCTACCATACAATGTACGAAAACCGATCCGCCACCGAAACGCGACTCGATATATATCTCTTCGAATGCCAGGCACGTTGCCCCGATGGCATTCACCTGACCACGACTGCGTCGAAGTTCTCGGTCTTGGACTTGCTCCTACTCTCGTTTCTCGGATTCCCGATTCTCGTGCGTTAGACGGACAGGACCGTCTGCTGGGCTATGAGGTCCGATTGCTTCTGAGACGACAGCCGGCTCTGGAGTTTGGTTAACAGCTTCGCTGCCCAGAAAGCAGAAGAAAAAGTAACAGCGACGCCGACAGAAATGTTGACGCGGGCAGAATATCTGACGCCGCCGAAAGGTTTTTTTTCCCTGATTTTTGTTTGGATTTTGCCGCTAGCCAACTTTTGGCCAAGTTATTGGATTGCCTTCTAATGCACACGCAACGACAAACGGTAGGATGATGACAACCAGAGCCGGCACATATAAACTAGTTCCTGGTTAGTAACGCCTCCGTTTCGATTGCCCACCATCGGGCAGCCCGAGTCCGCAACTCCGATCCAAAACACGCATCAGGCCAGACTGAAGCGGAGCGGGTTACTCCCATATGCCGGCTGGAAGTGGTGCGACTGCATACTGCATACTCGTAATAAAAGAAAAAATCCAGCTGCGGTCGCATCTTCTGGATGAATAGCCATTAATATGCACTCTGATAAAAAGTTATAAAGTATTGATAAGCTTATAGATTTTTGGTTTTAAACAAAAGAGTCTGCCATTCTTAAATTTTGTATTAAATGAAAGCACGATTAAAGTTTATTAATAACCGATTTACCTCATTATGTAGATTTAATCATTCTACTTAATTTTGTTCACTGCATAACTAGATTAAATTTCCATTTAAATTCCTTGGTGCACATTGCATTTGGTACTTCATTCTCCTTTCCACTCTCGAAGTAGACTCGTTTGAATTCGTTTTCATTGCCCAGCACCAGCATGAGTCGCAGAACTAGCAGGGGCTAACGTAAATGTGTTTACTAAATAATATGCAAAATTTACGACGCTGGGCGATCATTGAACTGGAGGCAAGGAGTCTGAGTCAGGACCCAATTAAAATCCGCCATAATCGCATTATCAACGCCGAGATTAGGCGGCACCTTGGGTGTTAGAATTATCGAAAATTGAATCAATTGTTTCCAAAGAATTCGCATACTGATCGATGGAAAGTTAAGTGTCACTGCCATGCATGGTGGGCCCTGGATATTGGCGGGATAATTGTATTTCAATATTTTGCCAACTAATTGTATGTAATTGGATGCTCTGGGGCATTACTCTTACCTCTTTGATTGATCGACAAGCGGGAGTGTTGAATATTGTGGGTTTTAAAAAGCGTTTCAATGGGATTGGCTTTGGAACAAGCCTGAAGCTGGCAGTCAACGAGTTCAAGAGTCATTTGAAAGTTCTAACCTGGGAACTCTTCCCACTTAATGTTCAATGAACTATTGAAATGGCTATTTTTAGTCAAATTAGCTAAGCTTTCTTTCCATTTCTTATTGGTCTAAAAAGTTTCTTATTCGTTTTTAGGAAAAAGATTAAGTTTTAGATTACAAGATTAAAGTCTAGCGGATTTAGTTATAATTTTTTAATAATTAAATAAACTGATAATATCCCCGAGTTGGTGAAAAAGTTAATCTACAATACTGGCGAAGTTTATGTTTTGTAAGATTTCCATGTATTTTACATTTTTACCAAACAAATAATATTTAAATTGTAGCATACTTTTTGGGATAAAACCTTTAAGTTTAAGCTTAAAAAGAAAAAAAAAAGTTTTTCAAACAGAGCATTTATTTTCAGAATTTTCAGAAAACTTGTACTTTCCTTTTAGAATGGATGTGATAAATAAATACAAATTGGTACATGCAGAAAATCATTCCAAATGATCGCCAAAACTCTTTGAGCATAAACAGTTATTTGGAAACAGCGTTTAACATAAATTTGTAATCGTTATGATTAAACTAAAACTAACTAATAGCTAAATATTCCTTGAGAAGAGGTTTGTGTGGGGCATCATTGAACCAGGAATTTCTCGATAGGAACCTTAGCAAAGAACTCGTTGATGTGGGCGATCAGAATGGGAGCCCATTGTTCGCGGGTGGCGGGAATACCGACTCGAGTTATCTCCGGCAGATTCTCGTTAACCAGATTCAGGATCATGCCATCTAGTTAGGGAAATAAATAAAATGTAATAAAATAAAATCATGAAAGAGAATTTGTTATTACTCAGATTCCGGTCAGAGAAGATGCCATTGGCCACCACCTTGGCATCGCCGATATTGACATTGGCATTCAGGCGGTGTAAGCTGAGACGCTGCTGTCCACTGGGCAACTGCTCGATGTGTCCGTCGGTCAGAATGGTGGCCTTGATGTTGTCTGGAGAACGTAATACAATAAAGTTGTCTGTGACTCACTTCCGAAAGCTAAAATCTCACCGATGGTAATGTTGAAGGGACCCTTGGGCACCAGGCGCAGGCCACCGAACTTGACGTCCGCCTTGAAGTGTCCGCCAGCCTTCAGTTGGGGCAACTCCACGCCCAGCTTGATCACGAACCCGTTTTCGGTGAAATTGGCCGCCACACTGTTGACCTGCAGCGTGCTGATGCCGTAGATCTCCATGTTCTTGATCAGGAGTCCGCCCTGAATGCCGTCGTTGGCGTACCGGAAGATACCCCGCTTGTAGAAGTACGGATCGATCGATCCCATGTTGTACTCCGGCACTCCCTGATACCTCAGCTTGGGGGCGAATGTCTGGATCAGACCCCGAATGCACTCATTCAGATCCGTCGAACTGAGACTACAGGGTGTTACGGCAGTCGAGCCGAACTGGTCGCTAGTCGGTGGTGTAACTGAAAGCGAAAGTAATGGGGAGATTAGTTCACAATGCGGTTAAGTCATGGCTAACCCAAAGTTGTAAAGATCGCCGGGCCATAGCATAGCACCCGGCTCGATTCAGGTAATAATTATTATATTTTGGTATTTGTGCCACCCAACCAGGCATGAAAAAGTTCACGTGTCCCCCGGTTTAACGTGCACTGCCGCAGCTTTTGGTTTCTGTCGCATGCGAATGGGGTTTGTGTCAGGGTGACACCCACCGAAGGTCTTTTATGTTTTTCCAGGTGTATGAGGAAGCGTAGATGGTTTACAACATTTTTTTTTGATAAAGACATAGTTATAGATATAGTTATAAAATATGATTTTTTATCAACAAATTAGTGTCATACGTTTTAAGAATTTCTACCCAAAACGGTTCTCTGATAACATGTATTTAATAGCTGCTGCAATTTAATTCTTTTATTAAGTGTATTTTCAGAATCACCTACGTTTACTTAAGTTTCAGCTTTTTTAATTACACCATTTAGTCTTCAAATGACATTCGTTTTTTACACAAATGTACTTTTAATTCTTAGAAGCCATGGAGGCTAATTCTCAAGATCATCTCTGAAGCTAATTTATGTTTTAGCCAGAGTGGCATTTAGTCACGGCAGTTTATACGATCTTCTCCTGCTGATGACAAGCGAAAACGTAATTATTTTATTGTTCCCCTGCACACAATTATCAAAAAAATAATATTAAAATGTTAATTTAACTTTTAATTGGGTATTTAAAGAATAAGATATTTTGAGGTTTGTTTCAAGTGACTTACGCACTTGAATAGTCCCTCTTACATTTTTTTTAGTCCGAGATCTCACTGCTATGTTTCACGTTTTACTTTTCAGCTGGCTGACAAGTTCAATGTCAAAGGTGAGCCAAACTGCTCATTATACCCTAAAAACAAATCAACACTCAAAATGTCAAAATTAAGAGGTGCCTGCCAAAACGAAGTAAAAGACGAAGGGAAAAACACTTGGTTTAACTATGCAGGCGGGTTCAAGTTGTGGCTAGTCATGCGAAGTGACGTTCGTTGCTTAAGTCATTTGTTTGTCAGGCAAATGTCAATAAATTTTTGCTCGCTATAGTTTGTTGGCTTAAGCGTTTTCCTTTCGCAATTAGAGACAAGTAACAATTGCAGCTCTCAGTTCGGCGGCACAGGCTCAGCGGTAGCTGCCGCAGTACCGCTTACGCATTGATGTAGGTCAGTTTTTCAGCTTTTCGCTTTTTGTCAGCATCTACGGCCGCAGCAGCTGTCGTCGGCAGCCGGTTTCGAATTTATGCCTCTGCGTTGTTGCTTTTGTTTACGCTGAACTCTTTTTCGCAAGAGCGCAAACAAGACACCGATCCAGCTCGCACACACAACCACACACCTCGTGCTCGATTAAATTAATGTAATTGGCAATATTTTAAGTGGGATTTTTTTTAGACCCGATTTCTTGGTGTTTGTTCTGCATTTATTACCCTGCCCTGGCTTGCATCACAATTTCTATTTGCACAGCCCTTGTCCGGCTAGCTTGATAACTTTTACTCAAAACTATAAGTATGTCAAGTTCAAGTGGCACTGACGATGACTTGCTGGTCTGCTTGTAATTCATACATATACATAAGTATTTCTTTTGCCACTTCAAAAGTGTTAAAAGTCAAATAAATAAAAAGATTTTAGCTGCAAACACACTTGCTAATTTCTATTGCAATTTCATTTCGTTTTGAACAGCTTGGACTTGGCTCTTTACAAATCTCATTAAATAATAAAAAGTAAAGCTCTTTTACGATTGCTGTTTCTCAGTATTTTTCCCAATTTTGCTTATTTCTGAAGGTTAGAGCCTATAAAAAAAGTGGTGTTAAGTATATGCACAACACACTTGAACATTTTTAAGAAGCTTACGATGACTAACCGGGTGACAGATTTGCATAAAAAACCCAAGCAGGGCCTGTCCTGAATTTCAACTATGTATGGAAATTGTTTTCAAAACAACGAGTCGAAGGAAGTGGGGAAAAAATACAAAAAACATAATGTAGCTCTTTGTAGCTTATAACATTAATTAAAAATCCATGCGTCAAACAGGAAACGACCAAGATTTATATAGATTTATTCTTTTTAAAATTCTAAAAGTTCTTGGAATTCTTTTTGCTTTCTGAATAGTTACAAAAATGTTAAAAGCAAGAAAGCTGTTCTTTTAATAAAATAATGTTTGTTTTTAATGCAATCCTTCTAGACACAAAATTGAGCCATGCCTTAACTAATATTTTTAATTACAAATTTTTTTTGTACACTAATTTTTTGATCCCATTCACTTTTTAATAATTTTATCGAGGCATTTTGAATGCCAAATGGTGGTCGCTGGCTAACCGCAGAAAATGCATTTTCAATCTCATTTTGCAGCAGCCGCCTTGCAAACAAAAGACTTAAGCAACAAACTCGTTTCGCCTCTAATTTTGTGTGCATTATTTGGTGGGTGTGTGTTTGGGCCGAGTGCACTTTTTAGTTTGAATTTCAAGTTCTCGTTGCAGTTGCATAAGCCAGCTTACCTGCATCGTACTGCAAACCGCCAAAATCGATTGACCCAGCGGGCGAGACCACCACCACGCTGCCGTCGCCCGCCGGCGAGACCTCCACATACTCCTCGGCCGGACCGGAGCCGGGCCTGGGATCGCTGCTGAACACGCTCGGCTCGCCGGATGTGGGCAGCGAGGCGCCACTGGCCACCGATCCACTTCCGAGTGCCAGGGCGGCAAAGGCAAAGATGCAAAGGAATTGCATTTTGTTGTTGAATCTGGCAAACACTTCGTTTTCCGCCAATCAACCCGTTTTAATTGATTACTGGACTCTTTCTCTTTGGTGGCTTATTTGACTATTTTCGTGTGACTTGAATCAACACACGAATTCAGTGCAGACGGTAATTTTGTTGTCTTCGTTTTTCCTACTTCTTTTTTTTTTTCGTTTTTTTTTGCGTAATTTTTTGCAAACCGGCTTCACTTTTATTTCTTCACGAGTAGTTGTTATTGTTGTTGGTTTTCTCGGTTAACTGCAATTGTTGCTGCAATTGCTGCACACTAGCACTCGCACACACAAAAACCACACACTGGCCAAGTCACAAACTCTAACTCAAACAGCTAATTGCCAAACTTGTGCGAAAAACCCAGAGAAAATAATTTTTGAGTTGACGGCGGGCTGGTTGCAAATCTTGAAATGAGCGCTCCATGGAAACCACGTTTATTTATAGTTTCCAAGCTGTCCAATTTTTGTTTTTATTCAAAAGTTTTTCCAAGCCGAATCCGAAGCTGAAACACAGCCTGCAACAACAACATGAACTTATCAAAAGCATCCGAAATTCGTGGATTCGAAGGCTTTCGAGCCGAAGTTGAAAGCTTTTAAAGCTCTTGTGAAAGAACAACAATAAAGACCATAGTTTTAGAGTCATAATGACAAGTCCAAATTGGATAGGAATATAGAAAATTGTTCTTAAGAACTATAACTTAAAGCTATCAATAAATTTATAGACCGTAGTTTAAAGAAAATATGATCAGGGTTATTTTAGAATAGACTATTTCTTTTTAGTAGTACTTATAAAAATAAAATATGAAGAGAGAACTGTTTTTATAAACTATACTTTTTTTCTATCATATACCTTAATCTTTATTTACTAACAATGCAATGCCGGATAGGTGCATTCCTTCACGAAACTCTCTCAAGAAAATCCAGACATCAATCAATCGTTCAGCGCCCACAAATCTGTCTAATGCATTAAACAAATAGGAATGTTTGTAGGCAAAAAGTCCCAGATTTGGGCCTAAAAGGTGCGAGACACGTTTGCCCTCCCAGTTTGGCAGTCATTGTGGTGGTCTTGCCCTGCAACGTGGTGGCGGTGTTCATGTAAAATGTGGGTCAGTTATAAATCTTCTGTAAAGCGTCTGTTTATGAGTATACATATTGCATGCTAGGTATTTAGTCATGAACCTGTGACTTTGTGGGTGTACATCGTACACATCACCCTCCAAGGTTGCTCACATAAGTACGTGATTTCTTTCACAATTTCACAAGTCAATTACAAGTTTTACGTAAACAGAACAAAGTATAACAATTAAGAATATCAGGAAATCTTTAGAAAAAGCGTTTTGCATAAAAACTATCAAAGTCTCTAATTAGGTTTTAAAAATTAACCACTTAGTATGGCTGTTGAGTCTTGTGGCCAGACGACAGTCGCGTGTTCGGTTTTCTTACTATGAATTTTTTGTATGCAGCCCACGAACCACACAGTCCATAGCAATAAGAATAAATTGACGGCAATATAATAAACAGATTTATGAGATACTTAGCGCCAACTGAGGTTCAACTATGACCAAGTAAAAATACTCCTTCGGTTTACAACGTATTTGTGATGTAATCACTTATGATACTAATTTAAAATGTATTATTTATCGGACCCTGCAAGAAATCCCGCTAGGTCCTACGAAAAATTATTTTAGACTCATTAGAGTGCTCCTCTCCACGGAAATCTTTAGTAAAAGGCGAAAGATTTATTCGACAGCTGAAGAGAAACCAGAGTAACTATAAACACTAAGTAGGTTACTATTCCTGGCAATGGTTGCTTAAACTTGTTGAGAATTATAATAGTTAGGGTGCATCCTGTCCAGTAACCCCTAAGTAGGGAGGTCGAATGACTCACTTTTAATAAGGGTTGTTTACGTTATCTACTGACTGTCAAGATGGTTGAATATTTTGTTATACGGAGTCAATGGCTGGTAGTAAGAAATAAAATTTGATTGAAAATAAAACAAGACCAGCATGTGAAGGTAGAGATAGTAAACACTCTTGAATTGAATTTTGAATTTCATAAAATTAGAAAGATACGTATACATATTTTAGTAGGCAAGAAAATTTATCCAATTATCCCTACTTCAGAAAATGCAAAATAATAGAAGTGAAATGTGCACAAGACTTCCTAAAATTCCTATGAAAATAATTCTACAATTCTATAAGTCCCCTAAGAACGAGGTCTTTTAACCGGGTCTTATCCCTCTCAAACTACACGCCCTTAAGTATGCTAAACATTTTCTCGCCTCGGTGAAATTTAGCCACTTTCTCCCTTAGAATTCGCAATCGGTTTTGACGGTAAGGTCAAGGAGACCCAAGTGTTTGCTTAGCCAAGTTATCGCTTCTCGGCCTTATGGCTAAGATCAAAGTGTAGTATCTGTTCTTATCAGCTTAACATCTGATAGTTCCTCCATTGGAGGACAACAAATGTTAAACTGATTTTTGGAATTAGACGGAGTGCTAGGAGCTTGCTCCACCTCTGTCGCGGGTTGGCCCGGTATTGCAGTACCGCCGGGATTTCGGCCCAACTGAATAATACATTTAAACCAAAACTAAAACTGAAGTTCAAGCACGAGCTTACTTCACCCTAAACTAGCTGTTAAAAGTAAATAGGGTGTTGCCTAATTTCACTTTTATGGCTGCTCTCCGACTAGGCGGTTGTTTCCCTTTCAAGGTCACTCGCGTCTGTGTACTTAACCTGTTAAGGTTATTTTTCATTAGGTCATCCAGCTCGCAACAAAATATCTGAATGAATTCACGCTTTAGTAGGGCATGACCGGTGCGAATAAAACTAGTTTTTAAAAATTCTTTCATTAGAAAGCCAGCCAGCTGGCACCTACAGTGAACTCTATGAATTGTTTACACCGATTATCATTTAATTGCAATTATTGCAATATAATTTATTTACGTTAGAGCCATTATCACAAATTAAATATAGCGTCTATTGAGTTAGTCCTTGAGAAATGCGTCGATGGGAACCAGTTCTAAAACCTCGTTGAAAATACGCAATAAAAGGGGTTGCCAATACTGACGGGTCTCGGGTAGCATTATGCCATAGATATCGCGCCAATACTGATTGGCTACGTCAAGTGCAATTTTGTCTGGAAATATAAGATAAAAAATAAGGGTTATTGTTCTGTTTCTAAAAAATAAATAAATGTATAAATATCTGATAGAAATGTATCAAATATTTGTAAAATAATAGGGAAATATCATAAAAGACTGTGAGATCGCCTCCATTACGATGCTATCTTTTTAATAAAAACCACTTACCAAGTTCTGGATCCTGGAAAATGCCATTGGCCTTGATGTGTAAGTCCCCAATCTTTGGATTACTGTCAATATTCTTCATTCGGAAGAAGCGATGTCCATCCTTCTCATAGACCTCGCCATCAGTGATAGTAGTGACCTCCACATTGGCTAAAAGTAAAAAAAATATAATAAAAAAATTTTATCAAAAAAAAAAAATCATAACTTACTAAGAGTCACATTAAAGTCGCCTTTGGGCTTTATTTGCAGCTGATTAACCTGCAAGTCCGCCTTATACTGGCCGGCAATGTTCAGTTTTGGGAGAAAGGTGAGAAAGCGCAGCTTGACCTTCCCATCCTTGTACTTGGCGTTGACCTCTTTGGCCGTGTTTGCAGAAAATCCGTATATTTTGGCATTCTTCATGGTTATACGACCGTTGACATTGCCACTGGAGTATTGGAAGCTGGTGCGATTCAGGACGAGAGGCTCATAGGGCGGAATCTTCAGATCCGTGTTGCCGTCCTTTAGACGTGGGTTTAGTGTGTTGAAAATCTGCTTAATACAGTCGCTCAGCTGATCCTCTTCCGTGGAGCATGTTGGCAGGTCTACAGAAGCATTACATAATTTATGGATTTCTTATAATTTTAAAAACTTTTCGAACCTGCAAAAACTTTATAATCCCTGGGAGATGCTGGGACACTGAGGCAGCAGTGAAAACTGATCAGCAGACACAAAACTCCTATTGTGTAATGCATTCCGATGCTAACTATTTATCACTATTTAAACTATCTATATCACTATCCTTTTGGGTCCCGATAGCTGATCCAACTGGCAGCTAGAACGTTAAACTACAACTGAAGCAAATCGACTCCAAGTCGAGCTATTTTATTCTCAAAATTAGCACAAGTCATCTATTGAAAATGCGACACTAGAGAGATCGTTTAGCTTAGTGGGTACATTTTACTTGTAAATCAGAAAATCGCTGTGCGCCAAACAGTTAGACTTTGACTGATCACAAAACCGGCTTCGTCTCTCTGATTTATAATGTCGTATTATTAAGTGGAAAACTTTATCGAAGCTTTAACAGCGAATGACAATCATGATTTGCAATAAATTCTTCTAATAATTACCTTGTTGAAATACTAATCATGGGCTCTTCGGTTTTCCTTTTCCGTTTATTTTGGCTACAAATTCATTAATTGTCTACATCGAAGGGCTGTCCATCGAAGCTTAAAGAGTGTGACTCATTTTTGACATTATGTGACTTGAACTTTTCATTGAGTTCAATTCAAAAGTGAGCTGATTACGTTTAGGTCTTGGGGTGTATGCATTTTACGATAACTTGCTCATTCAACGGACAGTAAGTGCAATTATAAAAGACACGGGCAGCACTAAGGGGCAGTAAGTGCAAATTTACCGGCACAATTAACTTATATAAAATTGCTTTTTATGCCTTGTAAAGTTTATTGATGTTTCTATAAATTGATTTTTTTCATTTTTTGTTGACGTATCTTCAAGGTACAGATATTAAAAACTCGAAATTTACAAACCCTATACATACCCTATCAGTTTCAGCGCAAAGTACTTTGAAATATTTGCATTTTTCAGTTTCTTTCATATTTGGTCTGAGCTTCGCGTCAAAACTATTTATTTTATGTATTTGCATTTTCCAAATAGTTTAGCGCACTCTCGTCAACAAACCTTATCTGTCCTTTCAAGGTTAAAATTTCAAGAGATAGTTTTGTACTTTCGACTGAGAAGTTGCTCTCTATCTAGTTTATACATTTTGGTAAACAATATTCGAATCTCCGTCTACGCAAATTAATTTATATTGATAACAGAATAGTTTAAGAACATGTCTTAATATTATATGCCCCTCGCATTTAGTTTTGAAATATGCACATGATTAATAAAAATGGTCTTTATTACAATAATAACTATATTAACTTTATGATTAAAACAGATGGATTTAATTATGATAGAAAATGAAACCATATTGGTTCAATTCTTGGTTAGGAGCATATCGAATGGTAAGGCAGCGAAGAAGTCGTTGGAGGACTTCAAAATCAGGGGCTGCCAGGTGGCCAAAGTTTCGGGCAACATGGACTCATACAGCTGGCGCCAATATTGGTTGATAAAGTCCAAAATGACATCGTCTATTCGCAATTCAAAGAAATTGTTAAGGGAATTTGGTATATATATTTTATAGTACGTACTCAGAGCTGGATCCGGCACTAAACCATTGGCATAAAATCGCAGATCTCCTATTTTGGGCTCAGTCTCCAGTTTGTTGAGTCGCAAATAGGTATGACCATCATTATCGTAGAGCTCTCCAATGGGCCTGGCTCGCATTGTAACATTGGCTTTTAAAAAGAATAGAAATTTTAGTTAAAATAATAATTTTACTTAAAATGTAGGTGATAATTAATATAACATGGTAAAAATATAAACTTTTAAATGTCAACTTTGCATTCGAGGAAGAAGTGTGCATACTGAAGTATATTAATATCAGCTATACGTATTCTTTATGGATTGTTTTTATTTTAAATATCACAACGGAAAAATGGTTAAAAAAACCAAAACTAAAGCTGCTATTTACAAAATTTGGAATATTCTCTCAAAATATAACAAGAAAACAAGACAATTACTAAGAAATCCGGATATGAAATACCAAGTATACCAATTACAAAAGTACTTTAAAGTTTAAACCATAACTCACTCATGGTAACGTTGAAGGTGCCCTTTGGGTTGAGCTTCAGATCGTTGAGCTTGATGTCTGCCTTGTAGGCGCCCTCGACAAACATTTGGGGCACATGGGAGAGAATCTCCATCCGGACCTGGCGGTTCTTCAGCCGGAAGTTGACCTTGTCGACGATGCCCTCGCTGAGGCCGTGGACGACCACGTTCTTCATGGCGATCCGTCCCTGGAGCAGGCCGGAGTTGTAGTTGTAGGAGCTCTTGCCCATTTCGAAGGGGTCGAGGGGCGGGATGTTCAGCTCGCTGATGCCGTACTTCATGCGTGGCGTAATCTGCTGGAGGCCCTGCCGGATGCACTCGTTGATATTGAGATCGCCCTCCCGACAGGTCGGTATATCGGCGGCTGATGAATGTCAAGCGAAATCAAATTAGTATCTGATATCAATCGGGTATTGTATTAACCTTGGCATATATAGTCAAACATAAACGCTGCTCATATCGCTAACGATCGATGTCGATGAGCTTATGCTCAGAACGTGACACATTTCTGGCTGAGAATTTTCAAGCTCGCTTAATTGTCAACGTTATGCGCAATTAGATTTTAGATTTAGATTTTGTTTGTAGCGTAAATTCCTGCATTTAATTAAAAGAGTTAGAGTTTTGTACTGTTGAGCATTGACGATAGACCAGATTTTCGCATCAAGTTCGTTTCGCCATAAATCTGTTTGTAATTAAGACTTTTTGCAAGTGTCTACCTTGGGGGAAGGTCGGCGGCGGAAGTTCCAAACTCCCGCCAAAGAGACCGAAGCCGCAAAACGTGTCTAGAGTGCTTTTAACAATTATATTTTTATATTCACCCATAAACAAGTTTTATTAATATCCCCAAAGGTAAATATTAATACTTGGACAATAAGTAAACTTCAAAAAGAACATTTGCATTGTCGTGTGGATAATGAGGTAATTTTGGGTAAATGGGGCTATTTTCGGCCAAAAAAAAAATGGTGTATGAAGACTTTACTTTTCATCGTGACATTAAAAAATTGAAAGCACTAAGTTACTAATTCTAACAACCATAACGTTTTTTTTAATTTTACCACAATTACTTGCAAATTTACAAATAGATATAAAAAATATCATTCCTCCATTTCTGACTTTATTTTTTTTGGTTCGTGATGAACATATTAATTATGCCATTAACTTTTTGGCTTGCACATTCGAATTCAGTTATGGAGTTTATTAGCTATTAATATTTTGGGAAACCCCCAGATATTCTACAAGTTCTAATGATATAAGCATTTTCTCTTGAATGATTGTAAAATTTTTTATAAATCTTTGTATCTAAAGAAATCTATGAACTTTGACTTTGATTGTTTTGTTACAAAATTCACACAATCTTGCGTGCTTCTCACGATTATAGCTGTCGCATCCCGGAGTCAATTTTGTTTGTCTCGAATTTTGTTATTTAACCACTAATTTGGCAGATTAAATAGCTATGTTTAAACGTTAACTAAAGTGTCAAATTACCAATTGTTTTAAGACTTGAAAAAAACCAAGATATTTTAGCCAATATTGAAAATGCGAAAACTATTAAACATTTATATTTTCGTTGAATTTTCCATTTTTATCCAAAAATTTTATTTCAAAAATAGATTTGATCAACATTTTCAACTGTTTCTTTAATTCAATTTAAGATTTATTTTAGTTCTTTATAAATTTATCTAATTTTTAGATAAAAACAAATACTTTTAAGAGCCAAAACTTAAAATGTCACGATTTTTTTTAATATCATTCTTGTTTTTAAAATATTTTGTTTGAAACTTAAACAGTTTGAGCATCAAAAAGCCGAGTAAAATCTTTGTAAGTCACAAAACTCTTTTTATATTTAGCCAAGGATATATTAAAGGACAAGTTCAGGCACTAAATATTTTAGTTTTCACTAATAAGACCTTGTTATTTTTTGTAACACTCACGTAATTCCCGGACCGGCTTGAAGTCAACTGGGGGCAACTCCTGGGCCAGACATGCCGCGGATATCAGGAGAAGAACAAAGGCGCAAAGGAGTCTCGACATTTTAAATATTTTATCAGTACAAAAGTTTGGTTTTAATTTATTGACTTTTCCTTTCGGTGAAATGAACCTGGCCCATGCAAATGCGAATCAACGTCTGAGTCTCCGGTGGGCGCTGGCCTTTTATTTATGGCAAGAAAACAAAACAAATCCAATCAAATTGAAATTGCAAAGGCAAACGCAAAAAAGACAGTCCGACACACGAACATAGATGATCAGCTTTAGAAAATAATAGGGAGTGGGTGAGGGGTCGGGCAAGAGGGTGGGGCTGGGAGGTACTATGGGGAGGCGGGAGCCGCCGCTCGCCAGTGAAGCAAAAATAGCTTGGAACTAATGACGACAACGTCGTCGACGAGACATCAGTTGTACAAAACAAAGTAAATGCAAAAGTCAGCAATGAAATACAAACGACATTATTAAATTCCCTTGCGGAGTCGTGAAGCTAATGCCACCAATCACCCCGACTCTCTGTTTTGACTCAGCTCTCGACTTCCCGACCCGATCCGACCCGATGATCTGAACCGACTTCCCCATTATTCCCGCCTCCAAAACTACCGGCAGCTGTCCCCGATGATCTCCCAGCCGCGTTTGATGTTTCCTCGACTTGGTACTGGTGACACGTGATCGTGTCCAGATCTCCCACCCGTGTTGCCTGCGGATTGGTTTCACTTCCGAGCCATGTAATTAAAAAAAGGCAACTCAATTAGCCCAGTCCCAGCACCGCTGGGATTTAAGCCATTATCAGACAGTAAATGGCTACTTGCCGCAAAACGCAGACCAATTACAGAGGGCGTGTTTGAAAGAGTTTCTCTGATTTCAATCACACTTTGGCTATACAAATTATTTTCTTTTTTTTTTACTAGAAACAAAAACGCTATACTTAAGCTATACTTAAAGTGTCCCTTCAGAGATAGATAATCGATGTATCGGGACGCCACTTAAGAAGGATTAAATTCCTATTTAAGAACCCCAACCAATAGAAACGGACAGAGCTTATTTTACAAGTGACCTGTCTTTTTCCTGATAGTTATAGAAGGTTTATTAATAAATCTCTTTATCGCTGAAATACAACTGTTCTAAGGTGCCTCTTTAATAAAAAGGTTATTAACAAGATGACACGACAAGTCTGTATCGTTATTAATTTATTCATACTTATTAAATTATTTAAATTATAGATTCCCCCGGTAGGAAGAAAGTTAACACATTAGCACTATCCAATACTTCCAAGTCAGACAAGATATAATTACAACGTGTCAAAATAAGTCCGTATAACAATTATTAATAGGCTTTCAGGTAATACCTCAACGAGCTAATCATTGGGTGATTCTAATATATAATAAATTCATATTTAGTTACTGATAAAAGGAAAAATCAATATAGGGATAGTTAATAATCACGCAATATGTTCCAGCAATTCATTATCAATAAATATTTCAAATACCAGAACATATTACTTTTATGAAACTGTCTAGCTTTCAGGGAAAATAATTAGAAACAACTCTGGATTTGATTTATATTTTTCGAAAGATAACGATTGCAAATATGAAAACACTGGATCACTATTTACTATCTGGTTCGGGCTCTGGCACAAGATAGGCTTATCACACTCGAGACTTAGGTGTCTACGACAGTTTCTCCCTTTTGCAATCCCAGATATCCCAGTCATCGTAGGGCGACATCTTATCACCATCTGGAGTGAGGGACTTCATTTCCAGGAATTGATCTTACGAAAGGTCTAAAAAATTAGAGAACAAAAGACCAGCGGACTGGGTGCGTACACACCTTATCAATAGGGGAGAACAATAGAGGCTGGACAAATGAGGCCGCAAAATACTCTTTTCGGTTTTGGAAGGGCAATTGAACAAGAACAGCCCATGAAATTGACAAAAGCGGCGACACTGAGACTCAAATGTGGACAGTCATTTGCAAAGAGGAACAAACACGAATTGAATGAATGTTTGTGCCTTCCAGGGGGCCTGAAATGTCAGAGGGTATGGGTCATATGGCCTAGGCCCTGGACCCTAGGGTATCTGTAAATTTGCAGTCGGATGCAAGATCAAACATGATCGGTGGTCGGCGGGTGGGCTTAGGTAAAATCGTACGAGTGCGAGCGAGACAAAGCATAGCGCGGACGCGTGCGCAGGCCCCCGATTTATGATTTAGTTTTTGTTTTTGCAAAAATACAATTTTGGGCTTCGATTTGTGTAAACAAAGTCATAAACCGGTGGGTGGATTAGCCGAAAGGCGAGATAAGGCTTTCCACAATATAAACCGCCGAAAATCGCGGCAGGACAGCATTCTATCCAGAGACATCAAGAAGAGAACATGGAAAGCCATCATATCTACCGTCACAAGAAGTTCGATGTGGGCCGCAAGTTGGACAGCGCCGAGTTGCTTCTCAAAGAGGAGCTCATCTCCCGGAGCGGCACACCCTACAGCCGCGAGGAGGAGCAGGAGGAGGAGCTGGCTTCCATTAGCCTTTGTTCCAGTGACCAGGACAGCGAGTTCCTGCCCCTGCCCAAACGCCGACGCCTGGGATCCTCATCCTCCAGCGTTTCCTCGACTTCTTTTCAGTCTGCGACCTGCCACATCAACGCCGATGCTATCCAGGACATCCTCAAGTACCACGTCAACATGGTGCGCACGTTTCCCAAGAAGGAGCGCTCCCCCAAGGAGCAGGATCGCCGGAACAAGAACACCATCGCCTGCCGGATGAGCCGGCGCAAGAAAAAGTTCGACGACCTGCAGATCGAACAGCAATACAAGGACTTTACATCCGAGCACCTTAAAATCGCCGAGCAAAGTGTCCGGGCGAAGGTGTATCTCAATTACCTGAATCACCTGGTCAAGCAGGAGGACATTCCAGCACCCACCCTACCTCCCTCCACGGCCCCAAGGGCCGTCAAGGAGCCGAACTGCAAGAGAAACTTTAGCATCGACTACTTGATCGGGGGAGTTAAGCAGGAAAAAGTCTAAAACTATTTTTAATTAAATTGTTCACTGTGTGATCAATCTTTGTAAAATATAATATAAGTTTATGTTTGGTTATTGTAGTTATTAGCACATAATTAGTGGCATATGTCATATATTAAATTTTAGAAGGCCTGTAAGTCTGAAATTGTAAATGGATCAACTCAAAATAATAGTTTAAGCTCTATTTTTAAATTTTGTATTATATTTTCTTCAAGAAATAAATATATTTACTTTTTGATGATTTTATATATTCAAAGTTTACTTTTTATATTCCTCAAACCGCTTTTTAGACTTTTATTTACTGTTTTATAAACTCCTAAATATTCCTTGCAGTTTGTAGAAACTTCTCCCAAATATCACCCCATTCTGCAGGTCTGGAATGACTGGAAGACTTATGTTGTGATGCTTGATTACAAGCTCGAGGCAGTTCTCGACTATTGTTAAAGGGAAGCAGAAGCATTCTGGACCTGGTCCAAGCAATGAAGAAGGGTCAGGTATGAAAGTACTGGCCCTATCTTTGAATCAGCTGTAATAATCGCTCAGCCACTCCATGCGAGAAAGAAAAATTATTCCAACTCAGATCATTGGATTATAATCGAAAGGAAATAATCAGATAAATAAAATTAATTAATTCCAAAAGTCACTTTTTTTAACCAGTCATTATAGATGAGCAGTAAAGTTTTAGAATTTGTACGGCTTTTTAAGCTGTGACACATTTAATTAACCGCTTTAATCAAGTTAGTCACGATAAGAGATTGTACTTTGCATACCTTTTTAATTTACAATTCATATAATCTCATCAATATTCTCATCTAATATCACATATAAATGTAAACGAATAACTTTTCATGAACAACTTTAATTAAATCAACAAAAAAAACAATAAATTTGGATGCAGATACGATTCCTTACTGGGGCTCTGGCTCCAGGCTGGCATTGCTCTCTGCGTCTGTGTCTTCGGCTGGCCCAGCTCCAATGCCGCTGGGTCCCTGCTCCATCATATCATCCATCATATTCATCGTCCCACCGATAGAGCGATCATCTTCTGCATCGCTCGTCCCCGGATTTCCCATGGTCTTGGCTATTTTGAAATAGACTTGATTTTCCGATTCGCTAAGAATTTTGAAGGGCTCGTCCTTGCCGACAATGGCTGTATTTATGATGAATTCAGTGCTATCCTGGTTGCCCAGGGCTCCGCGAACAGCCTGGATGCCGTGACAAATCAACTCCTGCTTGGTGCAATTCTCGAAGCTGTCCAAGTGCCGCTCCAAGTAGGTGCGGGCGCTTTGCGATCGCGACCCGATCGCCATGGCCTTGCAATTGAAGACATTGGCCGAGGGCATCACCTGGAAGATGTGGGTACCCTTCTCGTCATAGCCTGCTATCAGCATTCCCACTCCGAAGGGACGGCGGTTGTAGCGCTGGGTGGTGGCTTGGAGTTTGATGCCCAAATTGGTCACTAGACGCTGCACCGGATAGTCCACATCGTACGAGTGTCGGTACATCATGCACTCGGAGCGAAGGTGCTGGCAAACTACCCGGGCGTCCGCAGTCAGTCCGGCTATGGACATGCCCATGTGGGCGTCTACCGGCATGATCTTCCGCTGCAGCGTGTTGGGACTATCTTCAGCGTCTTTCGAGGAGCGGCACAAGGCGATGAGCACAGCATAGTCCCGGCTCTTGAGTCCCACAGTGGCAGATCCCTGCTTAACCGCCTCCATGGCGTACTCCACCTGGAATAGACGGCCTTGGGGACTCCATGTTGTTGTGTCACTGTCGTATTGGTTGCGGAACATTATTCAACAAATTTCTTTAGATTTCAAATTGAATAAGAAATCTATATTATAATTTTATTCATGTGTTCTTTACAACATGAGAAATGATAGGAATTGGGAATACATACTTCGACAGATAAGTCGGATAGTTTTTTATTTTTTATAAAAATTGAAATGTCTGCTGAGATCATGATACAATTATATAATTATATAATAATTATATAATAATATAATATTATATAATTATTATATAATTGTATCATGGCTGAGATAACAGTGAACCTTTAAAGTTTATTCTTACTTGGACGGATTGGAATATAAATGCATAAAGGAAAACTTTTTCTATTTCTATTTAAATTCCAAAAATATTTGGATCAAGCTTTCTCCAGCGATATCTATGTATGCTAAGATTCATCTAATTCTCAAAAAATAAAACAAATATTGACAAATATTTTTGAGTTTTTAACAAATAAAGTACAGGGTTTTAATAACAAAAAAGTTAGTTAAGTTAAAGTATATATTTAAAAAAAATTATATTCAAAACATTGTACCAAAACGCCCAATTACTTTCGTGAACTCATGTAATGGCTCCGGTAGTCAAACTCTGACTCATTAAGTAGGTTTTAAAATGCCTTTCTCCTCACAATAAATAAGTAATAAGCTAACCTTGACTAAACCTTATAATTCTAGCTCATAAAAACTTTTAGAATATAAAATATGGAAGAATTATTTACTCTCCCACTTAGTTTATTTCAAGTAACCCCCTCTCCAATAGCCCTATTGAAAACTAGGCCGCTTTCCCCCACGCCAACTAGACTAGACTTGCATAACGCCTAGCCAAGTAGAAAATCATCGGTCTATATTATAAGGAAGTTCACATGATCAGCCGAAGACGAAAACAAAATTCGGAGTGCACCCGCCGAGAGTGCAGCCAAGTGGATCCAGGCTGCGTACAGTGAGTGCAAATAAGAGCTTTACTTAATTTGAGTATTCATGCTGCCCCAGCTGGGCCCAGGGGTACGGGGACAGGTGGGCAAGTCGCCTGACGTAATTAACTCTTTTGGAATTGCGCAATCGCTGCGGGTCCGTCGTTAATTACTTTTAATTTTCATTGTGGGCCATTTGATAATGCCCGCCGCCAGTCGACTTCCTATGGCAGCCACGAGGGGCGGAAAATCCAAGTGCAGAAAAGTTTCCGTCGCGGCCATGGCAACCCAATAAACCACTTTGCACTTGCACACCGCACTTGTCTTGGGAGTACATGTGCAAACAAACATCAATTTCAGTTAATTGTCAAGTTTTTTGCTGCTCTGCTTTTGGCCAGCTTTTTGGCTTTGGCTTAACATTGAAAATTGCATTTCTGCGGCTCAGGTTTTGCGGTTGCAACACAGAGACTGAACTTGAAGCTTTTTTCGCTTGCTGGCCGATCAGTTTCGGACTTTAGCCATTCATCTCGGTCTAATCTCTGTCAATATTGGCTAACTGAAGGCAATACCCAGTCCACAGTGTTGTTCTTTGTTCTGACAGCTTTTGCGAAATAAGTCCGCCGTGAACGCTTATTAGTTGAACTTTGCGGTTAACTAACCCAGAGAATAATTCTGGGAAAGACAGATCTGAATCTGATTCATAAAATACATTGTTTAGATAGCCCCCAGACTAAATTAAAGGTGTGGCTACAAAAAGCAAATTTAAAGCCCTCAATAAAGTAGGTCTAGCATTATAAAAGCATTAGCTATAAATGTATTCTCTACAGGAAAAGCACTCGTTTATAATTTCTTGTCTGTAATTAATTTACATTGTAGGCATCTGACCCATTTCTGATCTTGAAAGCGTCAGCTACTGACTTCCCCTGGAAAATAGTCGTTTGTTAAACCCCAAATCACACCAAAGATTACCAACATAGTTATATGAATTATATGCATATATTAAAGTATTGATTTCAAAGTCAACAATAAATAAATTAAAGCTTAATAATCTAAATCACATTTTAGGGCTGTCCATAGTCTCTGAATATGTTTGTTTGGGTTGGGATTTCTTCATTGCTGGGATCCGAAGATGAGCATTTGCTGGGAGAGGGACATCTGCTGGAGGAACTGCTGCTGCTGCTGGGGCAGAAGGTGGCCAGGAGCAGGAGCAATCGCTCGCTGGAACACCGCCTGCTGAAGGACCTGGCGGTAGTAGAGACTCAGGCGGACCTGCTGCTCCAGCATGGCGGCGTACTGGCTACGGAACTGCTCGTACTGCTGGGCCATCCGCTCCTCCTGGGCCTGCTTGGCACGTCGGCTGAGAAGACAGGCCAAGGTGTTTCGATCCCGGCGTTGCTGCTCCTTGGGGCTGCGCTGGCGGGGAGTCTGGCTGCGGCGCACCATGTTGGCGTGGTATTGGCTCACCGCTGGCGTGGAAGCACGTGCCGGGCAGAAGCTTTGGCTAGTTTTTGGTGCCACCAGGCTGCTCTGCTCCTTCTGGTTCTGCTCGTTATCCAACCACGGCCTGAAGAATCCCTGGGTCTGGCGGCGCTTGATGGTTAGATGGTGTCCGGTTTCTTGGTAGAGGTTCTCCTTCTCATCCTCAATGTCGTCTCGCTTCCGCTTGATCACGGCAAACTTCTTGTGGGCGTAGATAGATGAATTCTCCATGATTTTCGATTTGATAAAGTGATGCTTCTCGTTTGACGATTGCTGGCTGAATGATTGTCCCTCCGCTTGATATCCTGTTTATATGCCCGCCTTGGTAGCCATCACAGGTAGCAGAAGGGATAACCTCCACAAATGTCGGGACTGTCAACAAAGGGATTAGCGTACATCCCCGTGTTGGGTAATAGATATGCCCAGATTAAGGAACATTTTTATGACCTGCTCCGGTAATTAGCACAGCCTCATTATCCCTTTTTGGTGGATTACCTACCTGGATTAGCGAACAAATGTTGCCACCGGAACAGGAAAGTTCTGGGCCGACCAACTGCCATGCTCACACAATCGGCAATTCATTTTTTATTGACCCACTTGACGCCATTGGTTCTGTGCGTGTGGTCCACGGATTCCAAGGTATTCTTTTGCCTGACTCGCCACCACACTTTGTTTTTAATTCCCTGGAAATTCATGTGGGTCTACTTGCGAACAGATCCCCGAAGGATGACAATACAAAAAGGATATGGGGTTTTCTCGAAATGAGTCTAGATGCTATTAGAGCTGCAAAGATAAAATTTAAGCCGCTCCATAAAAGGATCTTATCGATATTGTTTAAAAATATTGCAATTTATGGCTAGTTCATTTTGTGGGAAAATCATCAAATCTCCAATACGGATATAAAACCTATTAAAAAATTACCTCATAAATGCTAATTTCCCTGCAATGCGGATTTCACCGTAAGTTATATAATTTCTATTACCAATTATTTAATTTCTATTTTATTCTCTCATTTAAAGCTAAAGCAATGAAAAACCTTTACTTACAGCAACCGATTTCTATTAGGTATGTAAATATTTTTACTGAAATTAGCAATGCAAATAAATTTTCTTAGAAAAGAATACTATATTATGCAAATGGCAAAGCAATAAATTTGAAGTCACCGTTCCGTTTCCGATAGTTTAGTATCTTTATATGATCATTGACCTGTTGAAAGTATATTCTATCTAATTTGATGAACGCTACTTACGACCAGTATCTTTGGTTAGTTAGTTTTAGGCCGAATCATGACCAAATCATCGAAAAGAAAGACTTATGGACAAAAACGTTACATAAAAAATCTAAAAAATATTTCGATCCTAGAATTTGATGCAGATTTATGGGAAATTGATCTACAAATTGTTTAAGGTATTCCCCTCAAGAATCGGATGAATATTGACAAAGATATAGCCTTTGCAAGGTGTCATATTTTCATACCCCGTACACTGTCCATTTTTGAAGAGGATCCCGCAGAAAAATTCATCAAAAATCTAAAAAATATTTCGATTCTACATTTTGATCCAGATTTACGGGAAATTGATCTACAAATCGTTTAAGGTATTCCCCTCAAGAATCGGATGAGTATTGACGAAGATATAGCCTTCGCACGGAGTCTTATTTTTATACCCCGTATACTGCCCATTTTTGAAGGGGATCCCGCAGAAAAATTCATCAAAAATCTAAAAAATATTTCGATTCTACATTTTGATCCAGATATACGGGAAATTGATCTACAAATCGTTTAAGGTATTCCCCTCAAGAATCGAATGAGTATTGAGGAAAATAGAGCCTTCGCAAAGTGTCTTATTTTCATAATCCGTACTTTCATCAAAAATATGACAAATATTTCGATCCCAGATTTTGATGTAGATTTACGGGAAATTGATCTACAAATAGTTTAAGGTATTCCCCTCATGAATCGGATGAGTATTGACGAAGATACAGACTTCGCAAGGTGTCTTATTTTCATACCCCGTATTTTCATAAAAAAATCTAAAAAATATTTCGATCCTAGATTTTGATGCAGATCTATGCGGTGCCAAAATATAATTGCAAGACTGCAAGTTCAATTGTTTTCAATAAAAATAAATTTGTGTAAATTTCAATAACAATGTTTGTGTTTATTGTTTAGTCAACCAAATAAATATCTTAACTTTCAAAGTAATCACAAGTACTATACAACTTTTCTTACAAGCTATTGGCAGTAGTTTAGAGCGCTGCGACTGCGCCTAGTCAAGAACCCTTCAAGGATGTTGGGTGGTGGTCGTGGTCTGGAACCTGGGTACCTGCTGGTAGTGGGTGGGTGGCAGAGGCTCCATGGTGGCCATGGTCTGCTGCAGGAATCGCACATAGTAGAGGCTCAGGCGGATCTGCTGCTCCAGATTGGCCTCGTGCTGGATCCGGCTGGACAAGTACTGCTGCTCGATGAGTTGTTGTTGCTGCTGCTGAGAGCGACGATGCCGCAGGCTGGCTAGAGTGTTGCGATCCCGACGCAGTTGCTCCTGGGGACTGCGCTGGCGACGCTTGTGACTGCGCACCATGTTGGGATGATAGGTGGCATCCATTTTTCGAACACTCGCCGGTGTTGCCGCTGTCGTGGCGATCTTCTTTGGTGGCTGTGGCTGCTTCTTTTCCGGTTGAGACTCATCCAGCCAAGGGCGGAAGAATCTAGTGCGCTTGGACTGAGGCTGCTCGGGAGTTCGCTGACCGGGCTGCTCCATAACGAATACCACATCGTCATCGGATTCCTCATCCTGGCTGCGTTTGCGCTTCAGGGCTCCTGTGAATTTCTTGTGGCTGTAGTTCTCCATTGTTCCGCTTCGAATTGATTGATGAAGTGTAGTTGGGTGGGAGGTGTGTGTGCTTCGGTGTCTTTGAGACGAGTGTGCTGCCCCTCCTCCCGGCTTCCAGTTTTATGCAACCTTAGGTAATGCAGCGGCCTCCCGAAATCCCCGAGAATTTTCCCACCAGGTATCTGGGGACCATTTCAGGTATTCCCCATTTCAGTTCATTCATTCCCGAAATCGATGTCCCGAACTAATCACCCGCACCGTTTCTGGGTCGGTACCTACCTACCTGCGTTGCTAGGACACACGGGTGTCCCTAATCCGCCGGCTGGTCCGATCCGCTCCATTCCTTTCCACTCGCCCGACTCGAGGGTGTCATAAACCAGTTGTTGTCCTCGTCGACCTTTCTGCGACGTTCGTGTTTACATGGCCGACGACGATTTTCGGCGGAATTACCTGTCGAGAGACCCTTGGATCGTATCTTTTAATCCTGGCGCTCAATATGGCCAAACCGTATGCCGATCCGTCGCCTTTGTTTCGGCTTTCTTTGTGGCACCTGAATAGCATGAAGAAAGCAGTGCCTCGATCCCGCACCAATGGCCATAACGAAAAACACGCATTTATGACTTCAGCTTGGCCAGCTGAAAACATGTCTTGGTATCCTGGATCCTGGAAACCGGGCAATTACTGAATGCTCCTTCCTCGGCTGCTTCAAGTCTTTGGCATTATGTCGGATTTTCGTTTCATTCAATGCCTTTTGTCCATTGATTTATGCAGTCACAGAGTCCTCGGATCTTCTCACACGTTTCGCTCTCCGTTGTTTCCCACTCCAAATCGGATTTATTTCAGGTGGGTTTGAGACCAGCCCTCGGCCCAAATCCAGAGTCAATAAGCAGGATGGGAAAGGTTGTTTGTTCGGCTAAAGTATCATAGTGTAAGATTGTCATATTGTTTGATTGTTTCCTTTATTATATTGATCAATTTCCATCTGTTCTGGAACGGAAAGAATTGATTAAACAAGGTCCTCGATGGCATCCCTCCTCGAGGTGCAAGGGGAATGACCTTAGTAAAGGCTGTTACTGACAATACCCTACCAGGAAGTGCTTTCTCCATTGTTACAATTTAATTGTCGGGGAATCGAATAATATTAGAGCATTTTTATTTTTTATGGGAAAATAAATTCTGGGATAAATTAAAAAAAGAAAGTTGGGCATAGATATGTTTGAGAGTTGAAATAGACCTTGTCTATTTTTTATTTGATGTTCTTTAGTTACAATTTCTTTAGAAATAGGAAATATTGTTGACCTTTTAGAATTAGAATATCTATATGGTTCTTCTGACCAGAATCTTCCGACTTTAAAGATGAAAATGAAAGCGTAATAGATTTTTCCGTGTCTCAAACTAGTTCAATAGTCTAAGTCTAGTTAAATTTTCCTAACAATATTTCAGTTGTTTTAAAAATTATAATGAGTTCCCTAAGATTATAATATATTATACAAATGCAAATTTAATTTATTATTCTTGTGGAACTTGATTTATAGGATATATATTTCCTTATTTAAAATACGTTTCTTACAAGCTATAAAAAACTTCTCTAACTAAAGGGGCTTTTTCTAGATTAAATATTCGAATGTTTCTGGAAGATTTTTCGGATACATGATATTTATAATAATTGTTTGAAGATCATCGTTGTATTTTCCACAGTTATATGGATTATTGTAGAATGAATAATATACATATTATGACTGAAAAAACGTTTAAAAAAAGAATTTAGATTGTATTTAAGCTTTATTAAGCACTTTAATAAGTGTTTCATTAAACGTATTTATTTTAAATAACTTTTCCCTTTGTTATACTAAAAATAGTTATCTTTTATTATCTTCATAAAACGATTTTATTAAGAATCCGTTTGATATTGAGGTGCCCACTTTTTATATTTATTTGAGACATACATACGTTACCCTTATTCAAAGTTATCAAAGAAAACTCCACATTTTCGAAGCATTTTTGGAACTGCCTATTAAATTATCATTATCTCCCTTCAATATCTGATCAATAGCAAGGGGTCCCCTTCAATTGGTAAATGACATTTTCCAGAAACGACTCTGAGACTATTCCAGACACACACTTGAAAAGAACCAGCGATGCACACACGCAACCATTTCGGGAAAATCCCAATAAATTTCCATTCAATGAGCGCTGTGACTAAGCAGCGGCTCGCATTCGCGTTAAGGGATCCCCAGAATCCGATCCGGGCCAGAAACCTGGACCAGAACTTAATGATGCAGATTAGCGGTGAGCGAGATAAGAGACCGACTTGGCAGACGCATGACCATCTTCGTCATCAAAGAGTGGCAAGCGCAGGCGCTGGCAGATTCCAAGGTAGCCCGGAGATGTTTCTGGAGAAGTGTTCCAGGGACCCGAAGGAAATTCCAGGAAAAGACGCGCAGGTCAGTCAGCCCGAGAGACAGAGACCGAGGTGCACAAAAGAAGGTGCGAGCCCGTTGCAGCAAATGAAAAATTAATTACAAAGGACTTTGGGTGAGCATGTAGCAGGTAGCCATCGGGGTCTTAGGTAGTGTAGGTGTTGCCGAAATCCTTTTCTTTTTACGAAAATGCCAACCTTTTGTCAACGAAGATTTTCCCATAAACAAGGCGCAGACCGACCTTAATGATAATTTTCTCCGGCGCTGGGCCAGGTAGGACATCTGGGTGCAGGGGTATAAAAGGCAGGTTGCGCAGCAACCAGGATCACAGTCGAGCCTCACCAGCCGTCGCGAACACAACTAAGAATCGAAAAAGAACCAATCTTCAAATCAAAGAATGGCACCCTCAAACATGGATTACCACATCGAGTCGGAGACCAGCGAAATCTACACTCACAAGAAATTCAAGACCTCGGCGTATACCCACAAAAAGTTCGGCAAGAAGAGCAGCAAGGAGGCTGTCAGTCCCACCGCCACTGCCACACCTCTGTTCCGGCCCTACGCCCTCAGCGAAAACACACCTCGAAAGCGCCGTCAGGAAACGGAACGAGTCCAACAGTATCCAGTCCACCAGCACTCGTTGCCACCCACTCCGCCCACCACCCCTCCACAAGAGCCGGCCGCTCAGTATCCAGCAACTACCACGCCCACCTCACCGGTTTTTAGCCACCAGGCCTACGCCTATATGCTCCAGAAGCAACGGGCCGTGCTCCAGATGCGCCAACTCCTCGCCATCAATCCTGATGCCAACACCTGGCCAGTGGAATGGCGCCAGGCCCTCCAGGCACTGCTGCAGCAGTGAGCGGGAGCAGGATTACCAGAACGAAGCCAGAAGAATGGAGTGATTTGCCTAGCAACCAGTGATATAGACCTTTAAGTACCCGCGGACGATTGTACCATATAGAAAATGTGAAATGAAGCGATACGAGTAGCATAATACTAGACTAATTGTATATAAAGAAAAATATTTAACAAAATACATTAAAATTTTAAAAACAAAACTATATGCGTTATTAATGATTGTGTTAGTCATTTTTCCTTCCTATAGTTATTCCAGGATAAAATTCATTTTAGTATGCAGAACCTTTATTTCGATTTAGGATGGAACAATATATATAATTGACCAAATTTAAAATGCTTTAAGAAATAACTAGTTCTTTATAAGAATTTTAAATATTTATCTTTTGATCTTAAATGTTAGCCTTTAAAATTATGTTTTTGTTTTCTTCTCATCTAAACACTCAATTCTCTAAGTCAATTCAAACATTTACTCGCAAAATTAATTAATAGCATTGAACTTAACACAATTTAAGGGGACACGTCACTTATAGGTATTTTACATAGAGTTATTGAAGCCCAAACGGTCGAAAACAGACCCAGATGCGCCGCGGGGCTTGGTATGGCCAGCGTTCATGCTGTTGTGCCGTCGGGGGCCGGTATATTTCTTATATTGTTGCTCTGGCCGCTGCTGACGATTGGGCGGTGCTGGTGGAGCCCGAGAAGGAGCTGAGCTGGAGTTATTGCCAAGCCTCCTGTGCACGGGCAAGTTGTCATGTCTGTTGAACAGCTCTTCGCTGCGCATTCGAATGGATTTTCCCTTGACGGGACTAAAGCGAGCCTGTGTCCCTTTCTTCGTAGGAGATGCCTTCAAATTATAAGTCTTCTTGGTAGCATGAAGTTTGGATACTATTTTGGGAAATATACTGTTATATGATTTATCGTTCCCAGTATAGATGTTCACTTACCCAATCCTAGCCTAGTTTTGATGTTGTTTGCCAGATTCTTTCCATGTCTTGCTTTGTAGGACGTCTCGGGAGCGATCTCCCGCACTTCCGCTGTAGAGGCAAACTTCACAATCTTCTCACCCACCGCCATATCCATCTCATCGCTATCCCCGCTGGAAATATAATCCTCGCCGTCACTCCGATCTTCGTCCATGCTGTCGTCCTCATCGTCTCCCCGCTTTAGCGGAACCTTGTGCACAAGCATTACCTTCTGTTGTGTCTTTGTGCTAGAAGCGGCAACGTTCTTTGCCTTAACGATGGACGAGTTCTTGGTAACACCAGATCGCTGGGTGTTCTTTAGTATTGACTTGATCTCCTTGGTAAGATTAGCCTCCGCCGGCAGCTTTGATTGCTTGCCACCCAGACGAGCAAATACCGAATTATTGCTGGATGCATCGACCAATTTGTTTACTCCGGTTATGTGAACGCGAACGCTGCTCTCGCCGGAACTGGAGACGATGCCTTCCTGGGCTTCGTCCTCTTTGGAAGGCTTGTGTAGTCGTGAGAATATATCGGACTTCTTAGAGCTGCTCACACGGTCCGAGTACACTGAAAAGATTTACAAAGTTAGGGATAACATGCATGGTTTGATGCCATATTTTATGCTTACGTTTTTCCCGCTTGGCCAGGATCTCTTTGCTGCGTTCTGTGGTGCCCGAAGGAAGAGTAATCTTGTATTTGCCTTCATGCTCCGGCAAAACACGCCGCGCCGGCTTAGCTGGCGGCGATGTTTTAGATTTGGCCGTAGCACTTAAGGGTGTCGATGTTTTTACTTTCGGCGTTACTGGGCCGGACACCACAGCATTATGGGCTACGTCGGTGGTCAGGACTTGGTCGCGAGCATTCTGCTCGCAGACGTTCTTTGAGTGCCGTAGGATGGCGATTATGTCACCCATAAGGGTAATTCCCATCTCCCGCAAATACTCCTTGTTGATGTCCAGTAGCATGTCGTCCTGGATTCGGTTCTCCACGAAGATGTGCGCATAGCCGGCAGCGGCTGGCGATGGTATGCCGGCCGCATTGAAGAACTTTACCCAGCGTGCTGCAATAATGCAACGTGCATTGGTTATTTATATTATTCATATCCATTTTTAGTTTTGAGACACCCGGTAGCGTCAGCTAAGATTTGAGCCATTTGCACTGAGACTTTTACAAACCTGCACTTGACTTTGACATTCTGGTGGGGCGCCGCTGCTGCCGCGCTCTATTCGGTTAACTTTTGTATTATTATTTACTTCTTTATTCCATAAATACCGATTTTTTGCACACAGAATCTATTTATATGTTTTAGAGTTACCACCATATGTGCCTTGATGTTGCCAAGGCTGGTCTATCGGTTATCGCCGCCAAGCATCTGCGCATGTGTTGGAAAACTCCGTTAGTTCAAAAGAGATGGCTTGGCTGTTTAAAAGGTAATTAAACTTTAAAACTATTACGCAAACTTTTCTATAATGTATTCCAATAATTTATTTTATAGAAAAATAAATATTTCAGCAGAGTTTTTTTTTAATGACAAGACATCTATTTAATGTTAATTTTTATCTAGCTTTCTTTTTAGCTACAACTGCCAACACTGTCGGAGAGTGATGAAAAGCAAAACAAACCCAGATTTGAAACCATAACAATGAGCAGCTCCAATCTGTTTCCTATAAATTTTAATAATCTGACGGATAAAGAGCGGCACAACTATATCCTCAACCACTACGTTCTCAACCGTCCGGGAGAGGCGGAGTCCCGGCGGCATAAGCGGGACCATGATGTGATACGCGAGAACCACCAATTCCTGTGGGACGAGGAGGAGGTGGACAGTGATTCTCTTACTTGGGAGCAGCGCCTATCTCTACGCTACTACAAAAAGCTGTTCAAGGAATACTGTATTGCTGATTTGTCTCGATATAAGGAGAACAAAATAGCATTGCGTTGGCGGACGGAACAGGAGGTTGTCACTGGGATTGGACAGTTCCAGTGCGGTAGTCGCCGCTGCGAGGAACGAACCGATTTGCGTAGCTGGGAGGTGAACTTTAAGTATCTCGAAAAAGGTGTGCCCTTGAATGCTCTGGTTAAGGTGGGTGGTACAACAATGTTCCCTAAACTTCCTACTTAAACTTAAAATTCCATACCGGTTCCAGGTGCGCCTTTGTCCGACTCACACGGAGCAATTAAACTACCGCACCAAGAAAAGAGAAATCAAGAAGCAGCGGCGCCGGGCGAAGGAGGAACGCCGGGCTGAAAGAAAGAGAAAGCGGCGGAAGCTTGACACCGAGGAGGAATCGGCCTCTGAGGCAGACGAAGAACCAGAACCAGAGAAAGAGGACTTGGTATCCCCTGTGGATTTAGTACCCGAAAAGGAAACGGCAACGGATGCAACCGACCCATCGTCGGACGAACAGATCTGGCGTAAGCAACCCGATCTCGGCAAGGACCAGCCCTCCCGGGAACAGGAGTTCGAGCGCTATTTGGAGGATTTGCTTTTTTAAAATACATAGCATAGCACATTTATTTTGGATTCAACGTAGACACTAGTGCTCTTTTTATAGTTACTGGCCGCGAGATGCGTTCGCTTAAGAACTAGGATGTACATGTACACTCACATTAACAAGATTATTCACAAGAACTGTGTGTTAAAACCGACACCAAAAATTTAAGTTGAACTGAACATAAGGCTGTGTGACTTTGTTTTTTGAAAACAATTCCGGATTTCTACAATATTTTCATGTACCTAGTTCAGTCGTAACTCCTTTGCTGGCCGAATGCAAGCCGGGTGCTCAAGAAATACATTATCGGTTTACCTTTATGTGCGCTTCTGTGGTCAACACAAGTTGTTCAAGCGTTTCTAAATTTAAATCGGTCTAGAATAAATAAACCCTCTTGTTTACATTCGCCGAACAGAGAAATCACGACTGAGCACATCCGCTTGATCTAGGTGTTAAGAAGACTCATCTAAGTGTATGTGTGTATATAGCATCATTGAACGGACGGGATGGGGAAGGGGGATTACTGCTCCTTGGGCAGGAGCTCGGCAAAGGCGGCCGTGGGCTTGAAGCCCGTCACCTCCGTGAAGACCATCTCGCGCCATCGCTCCACCGGCAGCTCGTTCTCCTCAAAGCTCTGATCGTAGAGGGCGGCGGTCTGCTCGTCGGTCGGGTCGTGGTACTTCTCCATGTATGGGTGGGCCAGTGCCTGCTCTGCGGTGATGCGTTTCTCGGCGTCCAGCTCCAGCATTTTCTCGAGCAGATCGATGGCCAGTGGGTTTGCGCCGCGGAAGACGTCTCTGAAGTTCCGACGTGGCATCACTGGCAGCGAGCGGATGTAGTTTCGAGCGCTCTCTGAGGATATGCGACTCATGAACTCGTCGGCGGGCGTGCCCAGGACCTCCATGATCAGGTTCAGCTGGTGGATGTGATCCGTGCCCGGGAAAAGAGTACGGCCCGTCAGCAACTCGGCCATGATGCAGCCCACCGACCAAATGTCCACCGTCTGGTTGTAGTGCATCCAGTTGAGCATGATTTCTGGTGCCCGGTACCATCTCGTGGCCACATATCCTGTCATCTCGCTTTCAGCCGGCCTAGCCAGGCCAAAATCCAAGATGCGCAGCTCGCAGTCCTCGTTCACGGCAATGTTCGATGGCTTCAGGTCGCGATGAATTACTCCGGCACTGTGAATATACTTCAATCCACGCAAGATCTGGTACACCAGGAACTGGACGTGATCGTCAGAAAGCTTTTGTGTCCGGATGATGTTATTCAGGTCGGCGTCCATAAGATGGGTCACCATGTACACCTGCTGGAACTGCTCCAGCGAGTCTGCGGGCTGTCCGGGATGGAAGACGTCCAACAGCCCGATGACATTCTCGTGATCCATATGCTTCAGCAGCCGTAGCTCCCGGTAGGTGCGCTTGGCGTGCACCGCTGACTGAAAGGGGCGCGCCAGCTTTTTAATGGCCACCTTTGTATTCGTTCCCTTGACCACAGCCTTGCATACCTGCCCGTAGGCACCTTGGCCTACGGGCTGAAGGTTCTGGTAGGTCTCCGGTATCTCCCACTCGGTGCGGTTGATGTCCAGCTTGTAGAACTTGGCCATTTGACGGGACATAGCGTGCGTTCTCGAATTGTATTACTTTGATTTCAACCCGTTTTGGTTCGTCTGGCTTATTAGGGCTCTCTTCTTCTTGCTCGTGGGAATCGTTATCTCAGTTTTCACCTCAAAGCCTCGACATTGCTGCGCATATGAGTAATAGGGGATTAGTTGAGGCTAAAGGATGGAATATGAAACGAACCAAGAGGCTTGGTTCTATATTTGTTATTAAACTTACATCTTAACAGTTTGTTTTTGCTTATTTCACTGCACCCACACTTTTTCTGATTGGAAAGACGTTTGGCTTTAGGCCATTTTGTGCCCATCGAACAGCTGTTGCTCATCCTCGCGTTTCGCGGCTCACTTTGAGTCGCTGCACTATCAAATTCAATGTCCATAGTTTCTGTATCTGTTATGAAGATAGCTTTTTATTTATCTCTTTATTATATTATATTTTTTATCTACAATCTAGTTCTTTATAATTTATGAGCAATGAGACCGTTTAGATTTGAAAGAGTGGACAGAAATGCTTCTTTTAAAGAATGTCTTTTTTCATAAACTTTTAGTTAAATATACTATTAATATTGTATAAAAATAATATATTATACTTTATAAAAACACGTTGAATCCCCTAAATAAATCAGCCACATCAGTTAGTAATCAAATGAATGGAAATTATTAAAAACGTTGGAACAAATATTACTCATTCGCAGGGTTGGTCTTATAAGAAGCTTGTATCTGTGGGATTTCTATAACCAATTTCTTTTTAAAACCCTTTTATTATTACCGAATTTATATACAAAATGTAAACTTATAAATAATATCAACTTTTAACTAAGTTGTAATTCATAATAAACGAAAGAAGAGCCACCGTAAGTCGGCTAGGAAGATTACGCTGCTTAGGCGATGGGAGCCAATTGAAGAAAGCTGGTTTAGTTTCATTCGGAAGCGGTCGGTCGTTGGCGCAACATCCAGAGCCCGGACGCGACGCTCTGGTTCCCGGCGTTTTTTGCACGAGTTTTTTCCATACGTATTTGTTCATTGACAAAAACTAAAGCTGCGCTCAGTGCGTGCCAGTGTGTGAGTGCGAGCGAGCCGTGTTCGTATTCGTATTCGTATTCATAGTCACCAGTGGGCTCCAGTGTGAGTGTGAGTGCTTTGTGTGCAGAATAATTTTTGCAAACATTATGTAAATGCGCAAATTAAAGTTCAATCGACGCTCAACCGACCAGGGGCCTCGTCCAGATCCAAATCCAAATCCAGATCACCTTGCCTTTTGTGCTACGGAGCAACAGTTTTGAAAAATAACTTCCAATTTGAAAAGCCAACAGCAGAGGGCGCTGCCAGGAACACCCACAAACACACACATACAGACGCCCACACTTATCCAAAGGATCCGGCGCAAAGAACCGTTAGTCGCCGAAAAAACAGAAAAATTTTGAAAAATGGCCACGACAGCGGCCGCAATGGCCGCCACCAGCGTTGTGGTATTGGATCGCGGCAACAACACAACCTGCACCATTAACTTGCATGGTAAGCAGAGAGATTCGCCGCCACTCGCAACAATTAATCATAATTAACGAAAAACACAAACCACCAGCAACAACAATAGCAACCACAAGCGGTTGTGCAGTCTTCGCCGAAAAGTTGTTGGCGATATTTTTAGCGCATGATTGGCCAGCTCTTTTCGGCTAATAAATTGCCTGACTTTCGATCCATAGGAGTTTTTCGGAAAGCGAAACCCGTTTCGCCCCCCATTGACGTATTCGCGACCTCTGGAGGTTATCACTTTGTTCTCAAAACAACCTTGTTTGTACCCAGCCGAGAGCTTTCGGCTATCTTATCACTCGGTGGCGATCGAGGAGCGATAGTCCAACTACTCGAGAGCTGCTCTCGTGGGGGGTAGCTCCGTACTCCGGACGATCGGCTTGGGACCAGGTCTTAGGAGCGGAGCTTAGAGCTCCAGTCCCCACTCGCAGCCCATTTCGATTAGGCGTTATATGTACTATGTACTGGGCCCGCACACACATACCGAGGCCCCCCTCCTGGTCTATGTGCACCCAGGTATGTGTGTGTGTTGGTACCCCGCGTACTTTCAACAATTACGACTCGCTGTGTCTGGCCTGCCCACGTTAGTTTCCAAGTCGCAGCCCGTTTGAGCAACAGTCAGAGACACAACAACATTTGGCACAGACAGCGGGACATACACCCTGAGAAATGAATAATCTTTATAATTATAATAATATTTTGGATCATTTTCATCCCTAGAGATAAGTTTTAGACCTATGGTAGTCTTATGCTCTAAATCAGGTATTTGGTCTGTCAAAACCCCCAATAGAATTCTTTCAGTGTAACAACTTATCGTTTGTAATAAGATCACACGGTTGGTTAAAACTTTTCGAGTGCACCCAAACTAAAACTTCACTTGACGTGTTTCCGAATACGAATCAAAATAATCGAATTGCTGGTCTTAGCCCGCGGAGGCCTCTTGCAGGCCTGGCAGAGAGTTTTTGGGACCAGCAGCAGCCGCTCCACCCACACACACTTTCCGCGCGTGCACCCACCCAACGGCCGGAGGCCATCGTCATGCCCAGATCCGTACCCAAAAGCCGAAATCCCAGTCTTTAACTGTACCAGAGAGTCTGTCGCAGCCGGTTTACTTACAGGCCAGTGTTACTGGCTCTGGCAGTATGTGGGTTAGAAGTGTGTGCGTCATGTACTTAGCATTGCCTCTTTTTTGTTGTCATTTGCTGATTTTTTGTTGTTGTTGTATAATTCCAATAGTTGATCCCAGTTCTGCTTCATTCATTGATGAACAAGTTTTGGATTCGTGGGCACTCTTTTTCAAATATTCTCATTGACAAATCTCATCCGTAAAGATCTGGAAGCAAATCTATTGGTTTTCATTGAAAATATGGAAGAACATGGGGATCTTGGATGTTTTTTGTTAAGAGATTTTAGAGGAAATATAGACTTAGTTTACAATATAGACTCTATGTAATCATGAGTACATACAAGTATGTAGAAACAAAGTTTTCTTCTTCGGCTTTATTAAGTAACCTTCTCGGGTACAGTTAAACATCCACTTTTAATAATAAATTAAGATTAAATAATAAATCTTCTTTCCTACATAATAAATTGCCTTTAAGGAGAAGAATTAATCATATTTATTCATACCTACTTAAAAACCCTGAAAAATATCCTAAAAATAAATATAAAACTCCATTAATTCGATCGTTTATCTCCTTTCCATAGGCGCCACAGTTGTGTCCTGGCGGGTCAACAATCAGGAGCAGTTGTTTGTCAGGTGAGCCGTTTTGCAGAATTTAAATATAGCTCATACGCCCTGGTGGCCGGTCTTTAAGCTCGAACTTACGCAAGTGTACGGTATGCGTTGGCCATGCAACCAAAAAAGTGATTTGCAAAGTTACCAACACACACACACAGAGCAGCAGTAGGAGGATGATGGGCCTGGCAGAAGGAGGATGGCTTGGCCAGGAGCAGGAGCAGCCTTAGCCATTCTGTTTGGCGGCAAAATGTGTTTGTATGACACCCAAAACAAAAAACACGTCGGGACCGAGCGGCCCCAAACGTCGAACCAACGAACCGAACCAAAGGCGACCGAACGGCAAAAACACGAAACACTCCAAGGGGTCGAGAGCGGGGATGGGAGCGTTGCACTTGCATCCAAACAGTGGACTCTGCCCCAAGAGCTGCCTCCATTGATGAGCGTTTTTTTTGCTGCACTGTTGCTGTTGCTGCCTGCTGCCTGCTGCTCCTGTTCTGGGCTCCCTCCCTTCGGGGCCCCGCGCTTCGTGCCGCATCCCTAAACCCACCACGTTGTGGCAAAACAATGTGCAGGTTTTTATGAATGGAGTTTTTGGCGCGGCCAGCTAGATCGATAAATCCCCACTACATGAACCCTCCACTCGGCACAGTGGTCCAAGCACCGCCAACTTTCGTCCAACTTTCCGCCAACTCCCATATTCCCTTTTGGGCGGGTTTTTTTCCGCTCCCACACAGAGCTCCCAAATACACACCGGAGCTCTGGCCTCCCATTCCGGTTCCCAGTTCCCATTGCCCATTCCTCCAGCTCCGTCTGCTGCAAACTTTCCGACTGTTTTTGCGGCCACCAGTCGTCGCATTTGGAAACCTACTAAAAACCGACGGCGACCATGGAACCTGGACACCGTATAAGTCCAGAAAGAAGTTGAAAACTAAAATAAATTAAATGAAATAGAATCCAATTTTAAATCATGCTTTAAAGGTTCTTGAAATATATAAATTAGAACCTGCTTTAAAAATTAGAAGCTTACAATGTTGGTTTAAGGTTTCTTCAGACTCCCAAAGATACCTCTATAAAGTGGCTATAGTATTCATTTCTCTGAGATATTTGGACACTTTCTGGAAAACCTAAAGAAACAAATTGCACTCCGAACCAAATCCCAAACTAAAATCTTGAATATTAATAGTGTTTGCCATGTCAAATGCGTTCCTCCGCCGAACGAGTTAACAAATGGTGCCCAGGGACCGGCGGAGAGCCAGAACCAGAAGCTTAGGTATAAGAAGTGCCTTGATGGATGCGTCGGCAAATTAGCTGAGACGAAAACTAAGCAGGTCCGGACTCCCGGCAACGTCATCCTCAGAAGCGGCACAAAAACAACATGCCACAAAATATGTGTAGAAAAAAAAGGGGCAAGGAGCATTTGGCCAGACACTTTTTTTCTGCTAATAGCATTTCTGAATTTCAGAATGTCTGCCCGAGTCTGCGAGTGTTTTTATGACTGAAATATTTTCGAGTAGCATCTAACCGAATTAATCGAGTCTTTTCCTCTGGCCCTTTTTTCCATCTCAGCAAGCTGGCCTCGTTCGATGGCAAGAAGGCGATACGTGGCGGGATACCCTTTGTCTTTCGTAAGTTTTTTTTTCAAGTTTGTGTTCTTGAGCGGTAAACTGACGGTTCCCTGCCACTACAGCCCAGTTTGGAGCATGGTCCTTTGGGCCCCAGCACGGATTTGCGAGGATTACCCGGTGGCACTTGGAGCGACCTCCCGAGAGGCTCCACAACGGCGACGTCGAGGCCATATTCTCGCTAATGGATAACGACTTTACACGCTCCATCTGGAACTATCAGTAAGTGGTAATCACCCATTAAATAAAAACCAATCTTATAATAATGTCCAATTAAGGTTCCGCATTTCTTACCGCTTGATCCTGCGGGAAAAGGAGCTCCACTTCCACATCGGCGTCTACAATCCCAGCAAGGAGCTGAGCTTCACATTCAACATGCTGCTGCACACATACCTGAAGGTGCCCGATGTCCGGCGGTGTCAGATCACAGGTCTCCAGGGCTGCCACTTCATCGACAAGACGCGGGAGAACTCACTCTACCAGGAGGGACGCGAGGTGGTCACGGTGAACGAGTGGACCGACAGGATCTACCAACACACCCCGCAGGAGCACGTCATCACCAACGTGGTGTCCGGCCGTAAGATGCGGCTGCACAAGTACAACTTCCCCGATACGGGTATGTATCTCTATCTAAGTCCCCTCTAGGATCGTCTAGGACTTAATGATTTCTTTTAGTCATCTGGAATCCATGGATCGATCGATCGCGTGAGATGAGCGACTTTGGCGATGACGAGTTCCCCAACATGCTGTGCGTGGAGGCGGGCAATGTGACCTCGCCGGTGATCCTGTTGCCGGGCACAGCCTTCGAGGCCAGTCAGATCCTTCAGGTAGAGCAGTCGGTGCTGGAGTAGCTATAACCTAACACATCCTAACCAACCGACCTACTTCCCAATCCCAGCAATTCAAGTGCCCCTATACCATTAACTCTAAAAACTGGAGGGGCAAACCAACCGCTTTTCCCCTTTACGATTAGCGTTGCTTCACTGTAGTCTCTGCCACCATTTCTCAATCAAAATTCTTTACTTTACATGCCACATGCCAGATCATCATCGAGGGCAATGTTAGCCGCAAGACCAAGCGGAATCGCTAGCGTTTAAAGAATCGGAACCCGCTGAGGTAAACCGATTCGCAACCATGTCAAAGCGCACTTTTCCACAGATATCCAGATCCTCAATCCAGATCCTGAGAAGGAGCAGATGGAGCAGCACGAGGATCGTGATGAAGAGCCGGGAGAAACAGTAAACTGTTGGGTTGTTCCCTCACAGATTTTAGTCTTTAATCTATATCTTAAGTAATCGTAAAGCCCTCTTTAGTAATTTGTGTTGTGCAAGAATCGATAAAAGAATGTGAGCTGCACTTGCTAACCTAGTTTTCATCCTTAGTTCGAGCCTACAGGATGCTGGCCTTAGAACATTCCACATGGGAGCATTGATAGTTATCTAATCCTTGCAGATGTCGGAGCTGGAACTAATGGTTCTGAGGAAGAATTTGAGCATAATTCAAAATAATAAATTAAGCCCCTGATAAGTAAAGTTTAATCTAAAGATGAACTCACTTTCTGCTCCTCCAAGAGTTCACTTATTAAACAAAAATTAATATTTAATAAAAAATAAATAAAATCAATGCGAAAAACTAAACTATTGAGTAGTGGGTACTCCTAACTATGGTTCCTACCCATTTCTTTACAAGTATACGATTGAATAGATAACTTAAATCAATTTTAAAATATGTAAAATACTAAAAGCTATTATCTGTATCAATTATTGTAATAAAACCCCATATGATATTTAATTTCTTTAATTGTTTTATATTTCTGATAAACATATATTCATTCTAAACTACCAAATTCCTGGATTTATTTTTTGGAACTCTGATGCGTTGGTAATTAGTTCAAATGGCATAAAGCTTTGGAGGGTTCTGTAGACTCCAACGCTAACGTTTGTCATAATTCGTGATTTTACAGTCATTTTGCGTTTCTAGGAAGAAAGTCTTACTTCAAAATAAAAGGATTAATTCACTTTCACTTACTTTGTAAGTCCCAACGAGGCCAAATCCAAAAACCATATCCATAACGAGGATATAACTCACAAATAAAATAATGAATAATAAGCGACCCATTGGGAAATCAGATTTCTATATCTACCCGCGACAACGCCTTAAAGTCGACTGAGCGGAAAATAAAAAAGAATAGCATTTGGGAAATAAGTTAAACTTTCCTGCGAAGAAACTTACACTTGCAGGTGTCGTACAGTTAAGCTTAGTTTATTTAATTTTTGTTTGTTTTATATCTGTTGCTTAGATTAGATTCTTTACATACATGTATAAATAAGACATTTCTAGAATGTATCCTAACGCAACGCTCTCAAAAGGAGCCACCTATGAGGTGTCATCATACCAAGTGGTTACTCAATCGGTGCTTTTCTGAAGCTGGGACATGAAGGGGAACATTAGCGCAGATTATATAATCGTCGGATTATCAATTCGTTCATTTTATCAGGCGCACCTGGACAGTTGCTCTATAAGTATTTTTATGATCGAGTGATATTGCAAGGATAGTTTGGTGTACAGCGTGGTTGGTGAGTGGAGACGACCAGGAGACGTCTAGTCGATCTTCACAGCTCCGTAGATTCTCAGAATAAAGACATAGGCGGCGAAGAAGCCGATTGAGCCCGTCAGTAGCCAGAAAGTGAGCACCATGAGGCCTTTGTTTAACAAGACGATATTAATATGTTAATTAGTCGGTTCGGTGATGTCACTTACCCGTGTAGCCCAAGTAGAGAAGGGTTGGGATAAATTCAGTGATCTCAAGCTTGGTGAAAAAGTAGAAAATGCTATAAAAGAGCACATAGACGGCGGAGCCTCCGGAGACAATAAAACTTCGCCACCACCAGCGGTAGTCCTGCAATAAGATAAGATAAGAACTTTAACCCTTAAAGGACTATAATGGAATTGACGACTCTTACCTCTCCGCACAGTTGGAAATAGGTCATGACTATGGAGATCTGGGCACAGCTAACTACTAAAATACAAAACACTAAGAATAGAAAGCCAAAGAGATAGTAGAATTGATTCTGCCAAATGGCCGTGAATACAAAGAAGAGCTCAATGAAGACGGCGCCAAACGGCAAGATACCAGCCATCAGAGTGCTAAAAAGAAATGGGATTAGCAAAAACAAGTGGTTTCCATTGAGTTGGCTTACCTCAAGACCGCATTCATGTACCAATGCTGAGCTGGCACCTGCCGCGGAATCATGTTGGTGCGCACGGGATGCTGATACGGCTGCTTCCGGTAGCCGAGATAAAAGCCCAGATACACCAAGGGCACAGAGATGCCAAACCAGAGTAGCAGAAGCGAGATCATGGTAGTGAAAGGTACAGCTCCACTGGAGGACTTGTCCCATATGAAGAAGTTCAAAATGAATCCGGTGCTGATTAATAAATGTTAAGATTATTAATCTTCCAACAAAAACAGGGTTTAGTTCCTTACCCAAAGACAATGCCCGGATATAGAGTAGCCGTGAGAAAGGCTGCCCGTTTCCATTCCCGCCCCTTCATCGTCTTGTAGAGACGTGCTGCATAATAGCCGGCAATGGTGCCCATGAAGACGTACATAAAGATGCCAGAAGTCATCAGAGCACCTCGCGACGATGGCGATAGCATGCCCAACATGGCGAAGAAGATGGTGATAAGAGACATGAAAAATATTTGGATGCCACTGCCAATAATCGCGGAGAAGAATCGCGTGTTCTTGGGTGGTCGGAACACGTCGCCGTGCACCAGTTTCCATCCCGTCTCCTCCAGTGTGTCCTCGATGTTATCGTCCGTGTTGTACCTCGCGATATCCCGACGCAAGGTGCGGATCATGATCATGGTGAGGATGCCCGAGAGGAAGAACACCACCACCAAGGAGTTGATGATGCTGAACCAATGAATCTGCACATCGCGCATGCCTAGGTAAATGTCCCAACGCGAGGCCCAGCTCACCTTGGATTCTTTCCATTCAACGGAGTAGGTGAAGTACAGCTGAGTCTCTCCGTTAGGGTTGACGAGCTGTGGTCGGGCGCTGTCCGGGAAGTTACACGTGTCGCCGTGGAACTTTAGCTCCTTGTGACTCACCGAAACAGTTTCCACCTCGAAGCCCACCACACGGTACTTGCCTTTGGTGTGCATATGGTAGGACATAATGAACTTGAGGTGGTTGTTGATGTAGATGTTCTCCCCGTCAACCTGGCCCAGACGGTAGCCGTGCTCGTAGGTCACTTCCGATGGGCTATTCACGTTTACGATGCGAGTGGCCACCGGAAGATTGTCTACCAGCAGATGCACGAAGTACTCGTGTTGGATGCGTTCCGCAACCAGAGCAGAGTCCTCTTTGCTCCAGGTGAGGGGTCTGTCTTTCTGGTTGCACAGTAGCCGGCAGTTGACCTGCTGATTCATCCTCACGTCATAGGGTGTGTTGACGATCCGGTCACCGCGAAGCACCTCTCCCAAGTTCTCCGACTTGAAAATCAGCGTGCCGTTCTTAGGGTAGCAGAAGCGGAGCGAGTAGTACTGATACGGCAGCTGTGTGCGGCTACTGGTCATTTTCACCGCCTTTACGTCGATTTTCTGGTCTTGGACGAATTCCACCGGCGCCACGCCGGGCACGTAGAAGCAGTCTGCCACCAGGCCACCGAGGACCACCAGCAGGCCCAGCAGCCAGCAGGACTGAAAAAGGATATATTTTTATTTACATGCATTGCCTGCTTTCTTCCAGCCATTTGTTCTGGTTGCGTGTCTCACTGTCGACGTAGCTAAGAACCCTGAAATGGCCTCCGGCGGGAATAACGCCGACCGCAGTTGGCGGCCAACTCACCTGCATTTGGACGCCTATAACTGTGCTGGTTGAGGAACAACTAAACTGTTTGTTTTTAGTGTTTTTTAGTTTTTAAAACTTTTAGTTTTTGTGTCTCCTGGTTGGCTCTAGGATTGTTGATAATTTATCAAAATATCAATCTATCGATATTCCTCAAAAAAATATAAGCCGATATAACTCTTAATACATATCGAAAATTATTAATAATTTTATTTTGATTTATTTTTTTTTTTATGACATGAACTATATTTGTAGAAATTAGCAATAAAATTATATTTTTTTGTTTGACTCGATGACGAATCGCTAGCGCTGTCGCTATCCAACACTACAAAATTTTATTTCGAGATGGCACCTTTGTGATAATAAGAGCGTCTATCGATTATTCTGGCGGCAATATTTAAAAAATGTATTTTTGTATCGGCTTAAAAGCATAAATAAAGTTACACAGCTATAGTATTTGAAACCTAATTCCACGTAAAACTGAAACGTAAATATGATGCTTTATCAATGCATTTATTTAGGTAGTTTAAAGTTTAAACTTGGAACATGAACAATTTTTTTAATTTTAACATTTTTAACATTTTTTCAAAGTCTTATCACCATAACCTGGACATGAGTGTGTGGCGGAGGTGGGTTAAACACAACATGTCCCTGTTTGTCCTTAAAATCCACAAAGGGATATGAATGCACACATACCATTCCCAAGGCTGCTTTTTGGCGGGCAGAGTAATAGCTGGTGCAGTAGGCGGCCATTAGGGGAAGTCCTTGGGAGCGGCCGAGATCCATAAGACTAGCAGCTAGGCGGGAGCCTAAGCCTTTCCCCCTCACTTTGGCATCTACAGCGGTTATGTAAGAGTAAAGCAGTTCAGATACGCCAAATCGCTTAAAAAGGTTAGCATCCCTCTCGACCTTTGATAGAAATCGCAAATTTTGACCCCAGAGATGATGCTCTGAGCTCTCCGCGTAAATGCGATGGTCTTCCATGTTACCAGGTACTTGACGCTCTGCCAGAACGATTCCCACGATGCGTCCTTTATTTGTATCATCAGTGGCTACCAGACAAAGCTCTTGGCCGATCATATGCAAGTGATTCCCGTCCTCTTCCGCTTCGTTTTGAAGGTGCAGCGGCTCATGTACGCCCATTCCCATGGGCTCGTCGTAGTAGAAGTTGTCCCTCATGAAGAGTTTCACCTTTGGATAGTCCATCTTGTTCATGATGCGGATAGTTATGCCGTCCTTTGTCTGGGGTAACATTTTTCAAGATGTTTAGTCTCTAATGGTTTGAAAGTAACTAATCAAGTCAGTTGCATTTAATTTCGTTGTAATCTGATTAAGTATACATATGTATATGTAGATAGATAGCATTGTAAAGGCAATATTAAAAGCTGTATACGTCAGCCTTTTTTAAAACTTTCGAAAGATAACGATGCTTTTAAGAAAATGTATAATAAAGTAAAATACCTAGTATTTTTTAGCTGTATTTTATTTAAATAACTTATGGCAGTTTATTTTATTCGAATAATCATAAATTTATTCAAAGCTTCATGGCCATTACTCGTATATGAGTGTGTGGGGCGGGTGGGGTGAACATCCCACGGCCCTGATCGTCCTTGTAGTCGGCATACGCCAGGGTGTAAATGCACTCCATGCCCAAGGCGTCCTTCTGCTGGGCGGAGTAGTGGCTGGTGCAGTACGCGGCCATCACGGGGAATCCCCGGGACCGGCCCAGCTCAATAAGTGTGCTGGCCAGACGAGATCCCAGACCCTTTCCCCTCGCCGGGGCAGCCACAGCGGTTATGTAAGAGTTCAGGAAGTTGGTAACGCCATAATGCTCGAAAACGTTTGCTTCCCGTTCCACTTTGGCCATGAGCCGCAGAATGCGGCCCAAGAGATTATCCTCTTTTTCCTCGGCATATATGCGATTCTTTTCTATATCATGGGGTTCCAGTTTCTCCGCCAAAACAATAGCCACGACGTGTTCCGGGTTACTATCTTCTGTTGCTATAAGGGAGAGTCCCTGACGGATCATATCCAAATGATGCTGGTCCTCCTCCGCCTCGTTTTGAAGGTGCAGGGGCACGTTTATTCCTATTCCCAAGGGTTCGTCGTAGTAGAAATGTTCTCTCATAAAGGGTTTGACTTCTTTATAGTCCTCTACGGTCATGATTCGTATGGTTATACCATTTTTTGATTCCGGAAGCATCATTTTAGTAGTCTTTCTTGTGTTTCGGCTTCGACAAGAGATTAACAACTAATACGTGCTGTTTTTTTTTGGCTCTACCGAGGCAGATATTTTTTTAATCTTTATAACACTTCGTACATTATCAGTAGAGGTACAATTTCAGTAAACCACAAATACTTTACAACAAGAAAGATAAGCTAACGTCGGGCGGAGCCGAAGCTGATACATATACCCTTGCAAACCGGATACATATCGCAAACATGAAATATAGTTGGACGGTCCTTATGAGAATATCATAATAAAACCAATTTATTGCAATACAAAATCTAAAAATTCCCCTAAGAATCAAAAAAAGCTTCCATTTTCAAAACTACCAAAGTTGGTATTGATCAAGATTATATATACTTCATGGGGTAGGAGATGTCTCCTTTCACTGCGTTGCACACTTTTGATCAAAATTATAACTTAGGCAATGACACGAAAGTCAAGAAAACACAAAATAATTTAAACAATTATTGCTAGCCCCATAATGACACGATTACAGGATACAATTCCTAAAAACAAAACCATTTAATTAAACCAATTTAAAATCTCATTATCCGAGGCCCACTTATTTAATATCAGAGTGTACATGTGCGCCATTAAACAGATGTAATACACATTTGACTTTTGTGCATTTGCACAAAGTTGTTTTTGATTTTGTTTGCATTCAAATGGCAAACACAATGCGGACAAGTGAAACAAGGAGACCCATCTCAGGATCAACATAACGATAAACATTAATGCTTAAACACAGACAAATAAACATAAACATTTATGTCAATAAAATGAACTGATGCTTGACCCGTTCGGTCAGATAAAATGTCTGCCAGGACATACTCCACCTAGGAAACGTACATATATAGGCAGGGATTGCATGTATATAAGACAATTTTTAAATATAGGGGTCCTCTTTGTATAAATCAAATCGGCTTTAAAAATTGCATTAATTTGAATAATGTGCATTGGCCTGCGGGGGATAATTCACATTATATATTAATTAGTTAAATAAGAGGGTAAAAAGTATAATTATACCAATTTAATATATTTATTGAGATTCATTTAATTTTCAAACATTACGGAAATCGAATAAATATTAGGATATCTTTAAAAGCAATAAAGATAAATATTAAACACAGACCACAAAATTAAACAAAATACTTCATGTTTCCGGAATTGCTCATATTTTTAAAGACATAGAACCCATTTCTATTGATTTTAGAGAAAGAAAATTGACCAAAATATCAAAAACCTAAAATGGCTTACAATATGAATCATATATGAATCATACAACATATGTATGTATATATCCATAAATATAAAAAATATTTATTCAGCTTGGCATATATTTCATGAAACTCTGGAGTCCAAAGTCCGCACTGCATGGCGTTGAATATTCTTCATTTCAACACGGACAAAATTGCATTTTTAAATACGAGTATAGCGAGGCAAGTAAAAGGAAAAACATTTTCAGTAATAAATAAAAAGCAAATAACAAATAATAAATATGGTGCGCCAGAAACTTACAAATGCACGGAATGCAGCAAATAGACAAAACAACGAATGAAAAATATTTGAAAAAGCTTTTAAGTGTTATTGATAGTTTAGCTTGGCTCTGCAAATGGGAGCCCCTCGGTTCTCGGTTCTCCTCTGTGTATCCTCGGTGTATCCTCCCCAATGTCAGAATATATAGAACTGGAGCAGCCCAGGCGTTCCATTTGTTTTGTTTCGCTTTCCGTTTTGCATTTTGCTAGTTTTCGACTGTTGTTTTTGGTCCTCGTCCTGTTGCGGATTCATTGTAGCTGTGCTGAGCGTATCGCTTCCGGTTATTTGAATGCTAACAAATACAAATTGTTGTGTGTTTGTTGGCCAGTTGGAATGGATCGTGTGCGCAGCTCAACAGTTGTTTGACACCATTCCGGGTGTCCTTACCCAAGGAAGCTGGATAGTCTGAAAAATACTTTACACATCTGGCATACATTTTTCAGGCACTCTTTTTATTGTAAAGAGTATCCGGAAGAGTTGATGACCTTTCTAAAGATATATTACTTTTTCTACATATAGCTTTATGTATCTAAATAGGTAGGTATAGAATCTTCCCAGCCATGATTTAAATGAAGAGCTATATACATACATATACCATATATGTTATGTAAATGTATAGTGTATATCATCTTTTCAGTCCCCCAGCAAGTCGCTGATTCCTTCTCTATACTTCTCTTTTATCAAGGGTATAGAAAGATATTCCGGTTTACAAAACACCACCCACTGCGGATATCGAAACATAACATAGAACTTCAATTGATAAAAACATGGGTATTGTTTTCTGCTGGGGAATATTTTAACGCCTGGTTTACCCTACTTCGTGGCATTGTGAATTTATTTTGTATGAATTTTGGTTTCGGTATTTGCGCTTTGTTCTGTCCACATCCATTGTTTCTAACAACTGCAAGTGGCTTGTTGCCCGTGGACAGCTGCTATTGCTGCCACAATGGTTGATTGCACTCTCCGTTTGTGGCGACACGCAAATGCGATTTTGGAAGCTCTTAATAATATTAAACTCTTCAAATATTGTTTAAATTTGTTTTCAGAAACAGTGTCGTGGTTGTGCAAGTGTGTTGTTTAATTATAAATTCCGCAATATGTTTGGTGGCAAACTCCTCAAATGCAATAGTTTAAAACATTAAAAAACATCCTCAAAAAGTCTAGAGCTCTTGAGGGCTTCCGCTAGGAGAACTCATTGACCCATATGACATGTTTAATGACTGTGCCAGTCCCAAGCACATCATTGTGTCTACTTAGTCAGTCAAGGGTTGGCGGTGCCACGGATTCTCATAATGTAAGCCCACGCATGAGGGAGCTGGAAATGCAGCGACATCTGCCACAACAAGTGGCAAGAAGTTGCGGCACGAATACAGTGCGCATTGCGTACTTTAAGGCGCTTAAACGCTCGCGCCGGGCTGGTGGCGGGGCCATAAATAAACTGGCATATGCGCCGTGAAGTATGCAACGGCAGCTCTAATGCAGTTAGATGATGACGCCACTGCTCGGTGGTGGCGGTGGTGGCCCCTCCGTGGTGCGGAGGTGCTTCAGCTGGGAACTTGCAGTGCTCTTCGCGTGTGGCAAGATAAATCTCAACAAGTTTTTATGCGTTTCTTCTCGCTCTTCGCATTTTCTGCTTTCACTACGATTTTTTTTGCTTTCCTTAGAATAACAAAAGTTGACTGTATAAGCCGGGCCAAGCCATAGCATAAGAAACTTGTTAACAAAAAAAAAAAGAAGAAAAACTGCCAAGTCGAGCAAATGCGCCAAGCAGTATTCAGCGTCTTATATATTTTCTCTTTTGATAGCTCTTAGACACTTACTTTCTTTGATTAGAAGCTGCCGGCATCCCTGGCTGTTCTTTTCCCTTTTTCTCTTGTCTGGCTTTCAAGTCTCCCGAGTGTGAGGGTGTGTGGTGTCGGGCTCATTAAAGCGGCAAAGACATTAAGCATACGCCACGTTGACCCATTTTAAGATTCTGTTTTTTCCCCTTTGCCGCCTGCTTCTATCGCATTATTGCCACTTTCGTTGTCTGTCCTCCGTAAAAGCGATTGTTGTTGTTATGAATGCGATTTGCTTGCACTTTTTGGCCAGGTTTTGAAACTGAGAGCTTCATTACGTTGGTAGTATTGGAAAGTATTCATTTTCGAAAATGAACACGACTGGAAGTTTTCAGTATGATAAAAATTTTTGGAAGTCAGTGGGCTAAACAAGAGTTTATAAAATATGCCATAATCTTTTAAATTTAAATATTAAAGCCAACAAATAAAGAACTTTTAGTCAAATATGAAAAGAGCTTTTACTGAAATTTTAAAAGGGAAGTTGAAAAAACTTTAACAGAGTGTCAACTAAAGAGCACTTAAAGGATTAGAGCCAACCCATTATTGGTCCAATTAAGTTTGGGGAATGTGTTTGGGTGGCAGAGAACTCGAAAGTATGCAACGGATTTTGCGGAAAAAGGAAAGGAGGGAGTTTTGTTTTAGCCTCTCTCCGAAAAAAATAGAAAAATAAAAATAGTTGGCATCAACTGCAGCTGGCGGCAACTTTGTTGTTGACAGACTGGCATTGTTTTCGCCATACATCCTCTGATACACTCTTGTATAGGCACACATAAGGATAAACTGGCCATAGGCCATGGCTATATTATTATGGACTGACTCTCCTCCAAGATAATTGCCAAAAGTTGTAACAACTTTTTTTGCTTCCTATTTTGGCGAGATTTGTGCTGTTTTTTTGGTATCTTTTTGTTTTGGCTTCTCAAACATTTTTCAGCCAGTCAGAAAGTTTGACCGTTGGGTCAAGCTGTGTCCTGGAAGGGCCGGGATAAAAGTTAGCTAAACATTTTATTTTATCTAATTGAGTGTGTTTAAAGTTTAAAGTGTGCCAAAGTTTGTTGGGCCCTCTGAACTTGCCTTGATCGCCTCGAACCTCAAGGAGGGATTTCCAATCTGTGAGTGTGTGTTGGCCACAAACTGTTGCATACAAAGTGTAACAGGCAAATCCACTTACTCGCAATGTTTTTGGTGAAATTTAAAGCATTTTTCCCGCAGATGCCGTGGGGGCGCTATTGTTATGATTCTGCTTGCTCGGCATTTTGATTCAGTTCCAGCAATTGTTAATTTATTTTTGCATGCAAATTTCAGGCCTCTTTCGCGACAATTCTGTCGATGAAAAAATAGGCTGTATTGCTCTGCCAGCTCCGGCAGCGAGAAATAATAAAGTAACACAAATGCCAATTTCCCGTCAATGCATATCGCGCATTTTGCATGCACACCTCGTATACGTAATGTTCCAGGCGCACAGCCACCCTCGTGTCCGCCATTGTTGTTCGGGTTGTTGTTCCGCGATGTGCAAATATGGCCAACAAAAAAAATCATTTCAAATTTACTGTTGGGTTGTCACTATAAAAATTGTGTCCATATTGGTTGATCATTATTTTCATCCGCACGCAAATACATTCCGGCTGGAGC